TCAACTTACTGGTAAACACTTTTTGAAAGGACTCAGTTCCATACCAGGAGCACTCTTTGTTCTTTTCTCTACTGGGTCGTTCTCGCTCTCCATACTATCTTTAGCTATTTCTGCAAAATAGTTTAAGTTAAAACGTTTCATAGTCTCATCTCAACTATATTTATTAAAAGTAGATCTTTAGGATAAAGAAAGCTTTTGTACAACATGTAGTTTAAAAAGAATATTTGTCAGTATCCTTTTATTTAAACTTTAAGGAAAGCTGCGACTTTTTCTTTGTCACACTCTGACCTTAACAAGACTATTTTTGAGCCCCGTGACATGATTCATATACTTTAGTGGGAGTCCACTATACTACATTCCAGATAGCTTTACAACAAGCAATTTAATACATATTGATTACATTTACAAATAAAGACTAATAGGCTAATGTTTGTCCTTAAAACACTTTTTAAAAAAATCATTAAGAGCATGACACGTGATATCTATTGTTGTTAGACTACAAGTACAGCTGTCATCCGCTGATATTGCTACTACTGCCAAGTTTACGTACATCTTTTAATTGTGAGTTGAGGATTGTGAATTTCCCTTCAAGCTTTATCTTACCTTCAATGTAGCCTAGAGCTTGTTGTGCACTGAACCGATCATGATGGTTGAGTAGAGTCAGCTCCCTCAGAAGAAATCTCATTTTAAAGTCACACTCGTCTGGTATCAGGTCATGGACAAACTCTGTACGACTGTCAGCCATCTGAAATAACAAATAAATTGAACACAGTTATTTCAAATTGCCGAGTTACTTTTATTATTGCCTATCCACTGTTCATTACCTGAATGAGCATAAAATCACTTTAACAAGTCAAAACCATACTGTTCTTTGAATACTCAGCAGCTTAAAAAATAAATCAATCAAAACAAGAAAGACCGTTCTCTGATATAAAACAAATTGTGTACAATTCGAGTCAATTAATACATAGTTTGTCTCATTAATTTCTCCACAAGAGTTAAATTGACAACTTAAATTCAAATAGCAAGCAATGCAATTGTGTCACTTGGGTTTAGCAGCACTTTGAAGCAATATGTCAGTCAAATTTCATGTTCAAATAACAAAGCACTGCTTTGTCCGTAATGTCAGACGTACTGAACTTAAAGTTTGAGACAATGCATTTCTGTACTTATTTAGCATAGACTCGATAATTTCTTGCATATCAGACTGGATGTTTCTATTGTTTGCACAATACCGGCATCATTGCAAAAGAAATAGTATCTTTTTTAAAGATCAGGTTTGATAACCTTATAACCTTTAATTGTGTTCATTTACCAAAAAGCAATTACTTAAAAGATAGACAGGGTCATAGCTACTTAGATTTGTAAAATCTTCTTACCAGTTTGATCAGTTTCATTTGCATCTGACTTAACGATTGTTTCCCATTGTCAATGAACTTGACAAGGATATGGTACCCTTTATATAAGAACATTATCACGAGTCCGAAGGCAAAAGTATCAACTTTTCCTGTTATATCCAACTTTCGAACTGACCTGAGGAAAATATATCAAAAGAGAAAATGACAATAGTCATGAAACTTTATGAAAGAAATATCCGAAACTTAAGACTTCTGACAATTAGTTAAACACGGTCAAAATGCAAAGTTTACAAACAAACAAAAAATGTTTATACATTCAATATTAATTTTTCTTATATGGCCAAAAGTCAAACTAACACGGGTAAATGTCCTACTGCAACTATATTTCACGCTTTACTCGTTTAAGAAGACTTAAGCTATCTCAGTGACATTCTGTTAGCTAGTCAGATAGCTTCCTCGCATGAAATATTTTACTTTACCTGACAGGATTCAATCGAACAACATAACTGACAATTTAATCAAAGTCACCACCTTACAATTTTTTCATTTCTTAAATATATCCTTCATTCAAGCATTCATTCATACCATAAACATATTTGTGGCAAGCAATAATTTCTGGCTGTACAAAAATCTGTAAGTTGCCTCAAGACCATGTGTTTCAAAAAGGAGAAAAATGGTATAGGCCTATTCAAGAACTTACTGGCGTTGCAGCAACATCTTGCAAACTTCAGGCGCCAAATATCCAGGGGTCAACCCAACAAATTTTAGTGGCTCTTCTAAGAGTCTTCTTGATGAGCCAAAGTCCGTCAGTTTTACTACAACAGATCCATCAGCCCACACGTCAATACAAATATTTTCCGCTGTTTAAAGTAATAATTATATATTAAAAATGTGCACAAATCCACTTTCATGTGAATATCTGACACATGGAAGTAGGTATTAATTGCACGAAGTAATAAGTACTATCACCGGTGGGAACATTTCAGCTTCATGATATCCCGATATTCACAATTTTCAGCATTTTAACTTCATGAATTCATGACTTCAACTTTATGAATTCACGATTTCAACTTTATGAAGTTCAAATCATGATGAAACTAGAAATACGTCTATAGGACACGAATGCCCCCACACGCCACTGTTCTGTCAATCTTATGACTCTAGGTCAAATAATTTTTGCACTACATGTGCCACAAGTTGAAAACTAAAAATCAACAAAGGGCCATAATTCTTTTAAATTTGGTCGCAGCAAAAATTCCTTTCTTTACTACCATCTACACATTAAGGTTGTTCATCCCTGGAAGTTTAAGCAAAATCTGCCATCCGGTTTAAAAGGAGTTGCGTTCACAAAATTTCTATATGGTATATAGTGAAAAAATCAACAAAGGGCCATAATTCTCTTAAATTTTGTCGCACAAAAATTCCTTCCTTTACTACCATCTAAACATTAAGGTTGTTCATCCCTGTAAGTTTAAACAAAATCTGCCATCCGGTTTAAGAGGAGTTGCGTTCACAAAATTTCGGGACGTACAGACAGACAGAGGGTCGGACAAGTGCAACGGGGTTACGCTATATGCTCCCACTTTGTGGGGGCATAAAAATTGTGAATTCGTGTAGTTGAAATTGTGAATTCATGAAGTTGAAATTGTGAATTCCTGAAGTTGAAATCGTGAATTCATGAAGTTGAAATCGTAAATTCGTGAAGTTGAAATAGAAGTTGAATTTGTGAAGTTGAAATCGTGAATTCATTAAGTTGAAATCGTAAATTTGTGAAGTTGAAATCGTGAATTCCGTATGTTGAAAACGACAATTCATGACATTAAAATTGTGAAATCATGAAGATGCAATCAAGAATTCATGAAGTTGAAATGGTACTACCGGTCTTTCTTAATAAGGGTCAATAAAGACCTTTAGGATGTGGTATGATGAAGTGTTGATGATGATTTACATTTATTCTCTACATTTTAATGTTCAAGTTAATGCATTTAGTGGTTTCAGAGATATTCAAATAAATATACAAGTTTGTCAAAAAGGGGTATAACTTTGTCAAAATTCAAAGAAAAGTCATAAAAACTTGGCCAACAGAGCACTGTTGTAACCATATAAACCCTCATTACACAATGCTCGTAGAAGTCATAAATGAGCTGTGTCACAACAAAGCCAACATAATGGGTTTGCGACCAGTATGGTTCCAGACCAGCCTGCGCATCCGTGCAGTCTGATCAAGATCCATGCTGTTCGCTTACCAACCCTATTACAAGTAGAGAAAATGACAGCGAACAGCATGGATCCTGATCAGACTGGTCTGGATCCATGCTGGTTGCAAACCCACTATGTTGGTTTTGTCGTGACACGGCTCAAATATACATGTCACAAAATGGACTTACGTTTGATGTCCAGGTGCACTATGTTGTTACTGCTCATGTGATCTAAGCCCGCACATCCTTGCTTTGAAACTTCCCATTTTTGTGCATCGGTGAGAACTCTATTCTGTTTATAATACTCTTTTATAGAAAGCCCTAAAATATATTTGTTATTTCATACAAATTTAGTGCAGAAAGTAAGACTCATTTACAAAGCAAAAAGGTTTGTTGAAATTGAAAATGCAAAATTGCATGACTAAATAAGACCTGTCAGCTGTGATGAGGCAATCTTATATCAGACTGTATATATTAAAGTGATTTCCATGATACAGTAGGCCTACTTACATTTTCCAACACATGATTTAAGCACAAACAGAATCATAGAACTGTTTTCATAAATAATAGCAATATGACGCCAGAACCAATCAACAAAAGACTGAGAAAAACACTGGGTTTCATGAATAAATAAAAACATTAAAAGTTAACGGAAAATTGAAGCTTCGATTTGGATAAAGATGGTAAGTAAAAATCACATACTTGTAAAGTATAAAAGTAAGCATTTACATTTACACAACCTCATTGACTTTCTTTATGTTGTTTATTTTGCCCATATTCACAGTACAGGTCATATGGTAACTTTCCAGTATATTATTTAAAGCCAAAGTGTCCATTTATTCATACTCCGGTTAAAAAACATATGCATTTACCATCAGAAATGTACACATAAAAGAGATTTAACATTTGTAACAGGATTCAAACAAACTTTTAACAACTCACCGCAATACTCAAGCAGCAACTCCATGGTTGGATTTCCCTTGTCTTTACCGGCACGCTGTATAAGACCATACAACCCGGTCAAGTTAAGATGCTTCAGTTTAGATGGTACAATTATTTCACTTGATCTTAACTTATTCTTTGACACCTGTAAGTATAACAAGTTGGTGATAATGGCATTGCTCCGCTCAATAGAAAGAAAAAAATATTTATGTGGTTTTATTGAAATACTGAAATATTTTTTAAAATGATAGCTCTTTCTGTCCAGGTGAATCGGACACACAAAGTTTGGTGATAACACATCATAAGCTCTTTCTGTCCAGGTGAATGGGACACACAAAGTTTGGTGATAACACATCATAATGATGAACAGTTTATTTGTTTTTAAGCTTTATTGTAAATGTAAAGTTGCCACAAGATTGTTTGAACTGTACAAATCCAAAAATAATACCAGATTTTGTATGCACGTGGTTTACTGGAAAATATTTTACAGAAGAAGATTGGTGTGTTGAAATAAGGAAAGCATAAATCAAAGACACATTATGCCCTATAGTATTCGTTTACTTCTATTTTTCAAAAGCATTTTATTTCTGGTTCCCCATTTTAGTTTTCAAAAATTTACTCACTTGCCAACTCCCTGAATTTTCTTTTGCCATAAAGTAACAGCAAAATGTAAACAAAGTAGTTATTTGACTACCGTATAAAGTACTCACTTTAATTACATTTTGCTAATTTTATAACATATAATTTTACATTTAGCACCACAATTTAGGTAGTAAGCATCTAACATACACAAAACCCTTTTTAACCTTCACCAGGAATAAAATAAGGAGTTTTTATATGTTTTAATACCTGTTTTATGACAAACAGTTTTTGTGTTATCTTATCCTCACAAAGACTGACTTCACCAAAAGAACCTCGACCAAGACATTTTCTCCTCACAAAGTGTACATTCTCTTCATAGCAATCTGGCCCGGGGACACATGTCTGGAAAGATATGTATAAAATCATATTTTCTTCAAGATAACATGAAAATGACAAGTTATTTCTATATTTATTTCATTACAGTCACAATGTCAGCATTTCATTATCTCATTTGTGGACTATAATTCATCAGTGATTGGTTTTATACAAGGTCTATGAGCGACTTGTCTCCTTTTAATAAAGAAGGAAAACACCAGTGACTGTGCAGTATTTCATGATACAATAACACAAACCAGGGCTGCAATTCATAGAGTCTTAAGTCTAAATCCTAGGACATAAAACTTACTTAGGAGATTATAATTGAATTCTTTTTCCCGAGAAAATTCAGCAATATAATGACAGACCCTTTTATTCAAAATGTGCTATTGCTCATCTGTATTTTTATCAAAAAATAACATAGTCATTATAATATTGAAGAAACACAAAATTGTCAGATATTTGGTACAGACATAGGACTTTCTAGTATATTCATACTTTCTACAAAGCCATATCAGAGACTAGATTGAAATCTTTCTTGTAATTTTACTGCAATTTAGAATAGAGTCACATCTTGTCTAGAGGACCTTTTATACAACCACTTACTGGGCAAATAATCTGTATCAGTGATATAAATGTTGTTTGAGAAAAAAGGTTATATCAATTATAATATTTAATACTTTCACAATGTAGCAAATTAAAGATTAACAAACATGTATATAATATATCAGTCTTCACGAAAAACTTTTAAAAGCACAGGACAGTCGGGCCAGTAAAATTTCAAATCTTACTGGACCTGGTGATTTTTAACCGGACCAAATGCATAGATAGGTAATAAATTGATGGGTTAGGTAAAAAATTGATGGGTAAAGGAAAACATTTTATCATGCTTCCCTTGATAACTTTTGAAAGAAGCATAATACTTCTTTGTTATTCTCGCGGCCATATGTTGACAGCTTTTGAAAAATCCCATAAGGACCAAATGTTTAGCACAAAAACTGATCTAGAATTGAACATGAAACAAACACAATTTGCTTTAAACAAATCACTTTCACACAAAATATTTACTTAACTCAATAATCACAAAATCATAGCCTAAATAATGACCATAATAAACAATGGTTAATTTCCGTAAACTGTACGGTGCGGTACGGAAAAATTCCAAGAAAAAATAGGCAGCCTCCAATACTCAATACAATTTAGACATCTCTCGCAGTGTTTTTGAACATTTAGGACAGAATTGATGGGTTTCATTTGCAAAAAGCGCAAAAAGATCAATCTTTTTAGAGAACCCTTCTTCATATATTTTGATGAATTTTTTCTTATAATATTTTTTCATATGGCAAAAATCTACTGGCCAATCGACCCACCAACCTTGCAATAATCACCGGTACCGATGCTAAATTTTAGTGGCCTCGGGCCTCGGAGACTTGGCGTTAATTCGAAGACTGATATATGTGCCTACCTTATCAACAATACACCCTGTTTCTTCAATAAGATTTGGTAAATCATTCACCATATCTACAAGTGCACGATCTCCTGTAGATTTCACCATCCTGAACAAAATAAAATAGTCAATAATTTACAATATGTATACAAAAATTACATGCGATAGGTCAAATATAATATAATCTCAAACACCTTAAATCAGTGTTCCCATTTACGCACATATGTGCGTATTTTACGCATAAATAACAAAATTCACGTACAGAAATTTAGGCAAGAGGGTTAAAAATACGCACAGAAACGTCGGAAACTTAATCATGTATAATTAAAAAAATTATTCTTTTGAGCAATTTCTCAAACAAAAAATCACTTAAAGTGCATTTGAAATTGATGAAATGTGAGAAATTCTCACGAATTCACAATGAAGTTTACAGACCCCCATTGGGAATTATTGCCGTAAATTACAAATTTGAAATTTTTGTTTAACGATACCTGTAAGAATAGCCGATGAAAAACAGTCTTAAAATATAAAAAAAATATTAATTCTAATATAATTGTAATCAGCAACAACTGGGAATTTGTGATGTTTCTGCAGAAAACTGACGAACTTTCATTTGTCACAATATTTTCGCGATGCCGATTTTGTTAATCAAAAACATCAATACAAAAGGGAAGCTTTGTTTTGTATCAAAGGTGTGTATGTTACAATTATATGCTGTTTATGAATTTAAATAACTTAAATAATGGTCTATTTCTAATTGAGATGGAGAATAAGGCCAGTTATGTTGTTTAGTCACAATGAATTTTTACTTAATGGGGGGGGGCCCCCGGGTGGGGTGGTTTAGTGAATTTGAAGGAAACAGCATAATTGTCTGATGTATGATTTTGGAATTATCCTTAAATTTCATATAAATATTTGTACAAAATTTACTGTACCCCCTGAAATTTTTATTTTACCCCCAGTTTTCAAAGGTAAGGGGTAAAAATACCCCCAATGAAAAATAGAAGTGGGAACACTGCTTAAATGTTCATTCCTGTTGAATAAGAAATACATCAAATTTTTGCAAAATTGTGGATGATACAACAAAACACAAAGTAAAACGTATGTAAAACCATTTCAAGTAATGTAAATAGCATTACCCTGGTGTGTATCTGTTGCTTGGGACGTCAAACGTTTCTTGACTGGTGTTCTTTTTCAAATCCACACCAAATTCCTCTGCATTTGCCTCGTCAGTCAGTAGTACTGACGGACCTTCTGTGAATGTTTTCCTTGCCTGATCAGTTGTGGTTGCTGGTACTTGACTTTTTGATTTTTCATCATGTAATTTTGGATTGGGAAGCTGATTTAAGTTGTCCAATGTCGGATGAGTTGTAAATCCTTTTGGAACAGGTTGCTTCCCTTGTGGATTCTGTTTTTGTGAAGTAAGAGATACTTCATTTGTACTTGAATGGGCGGTTTGAGGCTGAACATCACTTGGCTGGATAACATGGCCAGAAATATTCATTCTATTCTCGTTCAAGTCAACAAACTCGTATGGAATCGACATTTTGTATAAAATATTTGGTAGACTGAAAATTGAAAACATCATATTATAATAATTTCTGGCATATTTTAAATCCAATAACTTTATTCATGCGAAACTTTTTTAACTTTTAAAGCATGTAATGTGGTAGGAACTTTCATACGAAAGACAAAAATCTTCTTATATATTGTCACGTCTCTGCCTGATAATTAACAAAATAATGCAACAGTCCCTTTAAAACAGAAGTTAATTATATTCAATGTGAAATATGCTGTTTAGTTTAAAATATCAAAAAACTATATTAAATTAATTTGGAGGACAGCACTTTCTTGAAGATGTTTATTTATACAAAAGTATTACTCACCTAACTAAGATGATATATAATATTATCAACCGCAGGCAAACTGCAACAGTCGCTCACTTCGGGTGATGGCACAGATTCTTCTTGTTAGCAAAAACACAACAGCTGCAGGTTGTTTGAGAGCAGGAAGAACGGATATGGAATTGACGTCACTTGGGACTGGTTCCCTGCAGTAATGCAGGTGGACTAGTATTCGGACAAAAAACCTACGAATACTACAATAATGTTTAGGGGGTATATTTTGGATATTATCATTAATATTGATAGAATTTCAAGTTCCTGTGCCAGAACCTTCTTACAAAAAATGGCGGCTAAGAAACGACTAAATCTCGTACCTTCCGGATACGGTATGTTCCGGATTATGGTTAGGAGACGGCCCACTGAATTTTCGTACTATATATCTTATAGTTAATCCATCACATTTAAGGCTAAATTCTGGACAAAGCATATCCGCCGGAACTTCATGGCAATTTCTTTAAACACCAATGCAGTCCAAGTAAATTATATAAGCGTGTTTCGCCAGCTTTTTGCCCCCCCCTTTTGAGGCCTCAATCAGTGAAAAATGCCCTATTTAGACCCTCAAACACTGTTTTTCGTTAGAGAAATGTTGTTAAAAAAAGTGACCACTTTTTCGGCGCCGTCCCCCATTCCAAAATATTACATCAGCGGCGGTTGCCAGAAGGGGATGTGCCGCCCTTCTGTTTGGGGGCGTTTGATAGGCGGGCAGATTCCCCCCTCATCGTTTAAGAAAATTTTGGACATTGTGACAGGCCTCAGGTCGATTCTTAGGCGTAACAAGTAACCGGCGCTGGAAAAGCCTTGTTATTCTTTCTCAATTCATTGAGAAGTTGCAGCACTTTGAAATCAGTTTTTTGCATGGAAAAAAACAATGCACAATAGTGATTTTGGCCAATTTTGAAACGTCCCCCCTTGCCATGGCTAACAGGAAATTTACCATTGAGCATGGCTGTTACAGCCAGCTATGTTAGTCCAACATTTGTTGCCAAGTTTCATTATTATTGAAGCATTTTTTCATAGTTTCATAAGCAGTTTGAACTTGTTACAGGAAGCTTTTCAATGATGAAAACGGCTATTTTTCAGAATATGCTCATGGGTAATAAGAGTTAATTTAAAAAATTAAAAATGTCAAAAAACAACAATTTGTTTCACCAAATTTCCTGTGTTAGAACATGTATTAACATGGAAAATCTAAAAGTTTTTGTTGTAATTCCAAGGGTTTTCATCATTTTTTTAACCTTTTTCCCTTATATAAGCGTGTTTCGACGGCTTTTTCCCCCCCCCCCTTTTGAGGCCTCAATCAGTGAAAAAAGCCTTATTTAGATCCCCCAAACACTGTTTTCGTTAAGAAATGTGTTAAAAAAAGTGACCACTTTTTCGGCGCCGTCCCCCCATCCAAATATTACATCAGGGGCGTTGCCAAAGGGGATGTGCCCCCTTCTGTTTGGGGGGTTTTGAAGGGGGGCGGAGTCCCCCTCATCGCAAAAAGAAAAATTTTGGACATTGACAGGCTAAAAAATGGCCTCTAGGTCGATCTTAGCCGGTAACTAGTAACCGACGCTGAAAAGCCTTTTTACTCTATCTCAAGTCAATTGAGAAGTTGCAGCACACTTTGAAAAATCAGTTTTCATGGAAAAAAACAATGCACAAAAGTGATTTTTAGCAATTTTGAGACGTCCCCCCCCCCGTTGCCATGGTAACAGGAAATTTACCATGAGCATGCTGTTACAGAGGCTATGGTGTAGTCAACATTTGTGCCAAGTTTCATTAGTATTGAAGCATTTTTCATAGTTTCATAGCAGTTTGAACTTGTTACAGGAAGCTTTTCAATGAAAACGGCCATTTTTCGCAATGGGGTAAAAGGTTAAGTACAAAAATAATACATTAGCCCTTGGAGTTTTTCTGCAGCTTTTAATTTAGGAATATTCCAAATAGTAACTAATGTGTATTCTTGTGCATAGTACCTCCTGAAACCTTCCACCTTAGATAAATATAACAATATATAATCCAACTTCTTATGTCAGCACACCCTTTGTTTGATAACACAATTATTATCCAAAGTATAATTTTACATGACTTACATTCCTGTAATAAATGTTGCCACCTGTACTTATCACCTTCACAGATGTGCCTTTTTGACTTACAACCCTACAGATATCATTTGCCCAATTAGTTAACATTTTACCTTTATTTTTCTCATGTCTGAGAATTAGGACTCTCTGCCCTATCTTGAATTTTCTGTACCCTTTGGCCATATGTTTGTTTGCCCAATATTGAATTCTTTGTTTCTGTATCTTGTCCCTATATCTCAATTTTGCGTTAACTCTTATTTTTTCTAACTGTGTAATTTTTGTTTTAATATCTCTGTTAAACATCAAAAATGCTGTTGCAAAATTTGCAGTGCAATGTGGTGTTGCTCTGAAATGTGGCAAAAATGTGTTTAATGCTTCTCTCCAATTTTTGTTTTCTGAAATTTGGTGCATTATCCGTTCTAATTTGACTGGGATATCCAAACATTGCAAACCATTTACTTAACTGATTTATGATTGAATTACTTGTGGTTGACTTTAGAATTGCCACTAGTGTAATAATCTATCAGAACCAACAGGTTCTCCTTATTTATAGGACCCATAATATCTATGCTTAGTTATTTCCAGGGGGAAGATGGAAGTTTTGTCATTACCACAGGAGGTTCTTGCGGGGTTTTAGACACCATCTGACATGCATGACAAGATTTTATCATGATTTCTACTTGTTTGTCTAAGTTTGGGAACCAAACTTTTTCTCTAATTAGCCTTTTTATTTTCTGTATTCCCATGTGAGATGAGTGGGCGGATTGAAGTACATGGATTGTAAATGCTCTGGAATGCAGAGTTTATTACCCTTCAAGATAAGAGAAATCTTTGACCGAAAGATTATGTCTGACCTGGTAATAGGTTTAAATTGCTTCGATTTTTCCCATTTGATTTTTCTCTAGATAACGTGCGTACTTGTTTCAAACTGGCATGGGTCACTTTGTGAACATTCTTGAAGTTCATCTAAGGTTACAGCTATTGGGACAGAACAATTGTAACAAGATGCACATAATTTTCTGTTTGGCTACAGATTGAATCATCTGTTTCCCTAATTGGTTTCTGGACAAAAATATCTGCCCGATTCAGATAACCTGGTAGAAATTGTACTTGAAAGGAAAATGGCTGTACTTTTAAAACCAAGTTTAATATTCTTGGGGTTGATTCATGCCTTCGAGTGAAAATTTTCTCAAGGGATCTGCAGTCAGACAAGACTGTGAAATTAATTCCCCATAGATAAACATGAAATCTGAGTATAATATACACAACTGCCAAGGTCTCGCGCTCAGCTTGACTGTAACGCCTTTCTACATCAGACAAGATACGACTTGCATACGCTATTAGTTTAAATGTACCATCTTTTTGTTTTTGCTCGAGAACTCCACCTACCCCAACAGGAGATCCATCCACAATGAGCCTTGTTTCTGCTTATATAGGGAAAATCTATGACCCCCTGGGGCAGGGCCAATTTTGACCTCAGGGCTTTTATTTGAACAAACTTGGTAGACACTCATTAGAAAATGTTTCATGCTAAATATCTTAGCTCTAGCTCTTTGGGTTCTCTAAAAGAAGATTTTTTAAGTTGTTACTATATGCATATAGGGAAAATCAATGACCCCCTGGGGCGGAGCAAATTTTGACCCAAGGGCTTTTATTTGAACAAACTTGGTAGACACTCATTAGAAAATGTTTCATGCTAAATATCTTAGCTCTAGCTCTTTGGGTTCTCTAAAAGAAGATTTTTTAAGTTTTTACTATATGCATATAGGGAAAATCAATGACCCCCTGGGGCGGAGCAAATTTTGACCCAAGGGCTTTTATTTGAACAAACTTGGTAGACATTCACTAGAAGATGTTTCATGCCAAATATCTAAGCTCTAGCTCTTACAGTTCTTTAAAAGAAGATTTTTTAAGTTTTTACTATATGCATATAGGGAAAATCAATGACCCCCTGGGGCGGGGCCAATTTTGACCCCAGGGCTTTTATTTGAACAAACTTGGTAGAGACACTCACTAGAAAATGTTTCATGCCAAATATCTTTAGCTCTAGCTCTTTGGGTTCTTTAAAAGAAGATTTTTTTAAGTTTTTTACTATAATGCATATAGGGAAAATCAATGACCCCCTGGGGCAGGGCCAATTTTTAACCCCAGGGCTTTATTATGAACAAACTTGGTAGACACTCACTAGAAAATGTTTCATGCCAAATATCTTAGCTCTAGCTCTTTGGGTTCTTTAAAAGAAGATTTTTTAAGTTTTTACTATATGCATATAGGGAAAATCAATGACCCCCTGGGGCGGGGCCAATTTTGACCCCAGGGCTTTTATTTGAACAAACTTGGTAGACACTCATTAGAAAATGTTTCATGCCAAATATCTAAGCTCTAGCTCTTAGGGTTGTTTAAAAGAAGATATTTAAAGATTTTTCTTTCGGTTGCCATGGCAACCGGAGTTCTGCATGGAATAAAATTCTTTGAACAATTTTTAAAGGTGACCACCAAAGGAACATTCCTGTGAAGTTTGGATGAAATTGGCTCAGTGGTTTATGAGGAGATGTCATTTAAAGCAAACGTTTACGGACGGACGGACGGACGACGGACGGACGCCGGACGAAAAGCGATCACAAAAGCTCACCCTGTCACTTTGTGACAGGTGAGCTAAAAATGCAGATATACATGAATTTGCCTCGGTCAGGGGCATAGATAACTAGGTAACTACTAAGAGAAACATTTAAACACAAGTCAATTGTTCAGATAAAGCCGTGAAATTTGTCAAATATAGAAATTTATCATTAACGACCTCATTTTTATTTGAAAAATGTGTTGGTAAAGAGCGCAAAATAATTTTCCCTTGTCAATAAAATTCAATTGGTAGTAAAACCACCTCTTCCTAAAGACCGCTAATGTTCATTAAAACTATAGCAGTAGATATAATGTAATCAAAAGACTAACCAAGTTGTAACACCAATTTCACAACACATAAGTAAAAATCAGATTCTTCAATATTTTTCCCTCCCTTTCTAGTTCAATAAATGTTTATAGAACGTGCGATTCATTGACAATTATGGCACTAATAATAAAAAAAGAACAAACATAACGTTATAACTGATACAATAATAATCAGCCTTTCTCAATGATGACAGAAAATGACATTGTAAAAATCTGTCGGAAAGTCAGAAAAAAATCTAGTGCACTTTACAAAAAACTTGTTGAATCACACTGAATATATTATTTAAGAAAAATGTTATTTCTTTCAATATCTACTTACATTTAAGCAATGATGATAAATAAAAATAGCCTCTCACTGATATCTGATACTGGGTTGACTTCTTTGAATATTAAGACAACAAAAATACATTGAATGATGATAAGATTAAATGAAGCATTATATATATACGTAAAATTGTTCTAAAATTGTTCAATGACGCAAACATACAAATACAAAAACTTGTATAAAAAGATTAAAGATGTTTACTTTATTCAGGTTATAACACACGATGATATAAGATAATAATTACATAAAATTAATTAAATATGTTATTTCCAATACCGTTGTGTGATTTCTGCTGATCAAGACAAACTCATGGTTCTTAAAAGCTTCAATAAAACATATATCATAGTAAAATATTTAGTAGAAACAAAACGTAACGATTTAGTAACTCTCGAATTAGATTTGAAAGAAGCAGATCAGCAACTACCACACTCAAAAAGTAGAAATTTAACAATATAAATATATCATATGTATCACAAATGGTAACTTATCACATGTGTATATACATGTATAATAAAGTTGAAATGACGAGTTTTTTTTATTAAGAAACATATTAATTTAAAATAGAAAAAAAATTGTGCAACATTTTATATGTATTTAACTTTCAATTGATAAATAGTAATTTTTCAGTCTAAAATATTATTGTTTTTACGATCTTCAAATTTCTAGCAATCTTAATCTAATTATAATTAAGGAAATAGTTTGTAAAAATGCAGATATATAAAATAAAAACAAATAAATATAATAGACTTCATTTTGTTGTACCCCTTTTCCTTTTGTGCTCATTTTTTTATAATTTTGGTTGTTTTATAATAAGCTTAAGAAATCTTAATTTGTATAAAATATTGATACCTATTATCCAGTGAAATAAAAAAAAAACGAGCTTCCTATTTAATAAGTTATTTTTAGATTTTAAAGGTTTCGTCATACTTATACTCATATACACGTTTCAACAATAACAGACACATGAAAAGAAAGATAAAATGAAAAAAGAAAACTATACATATAAAACTCACAAAGAAGTAAATAGCTATAAAGTTCATGTACAATAAACATATTTTCAACAAAACAATTCTTAAATGAAAATGTTATATGCTGAAGAGTACTAATATAGTCATTGTGGCTGAACAAAGCTCAGACAAGTCCACTTGTAGTTTAGTTTATACAAATTTATTTTAGTTCGATTTAGTTGGACAGTAGCATGGAAAAGTTTGGGATTGCCGACCCCTTACTTTCCTCCTCATCCTCCTTAATGTGCTCCTCCTGCACGTCCATTTGTAATGGACTATTCCCAAATGTTTTCATCTTCTTCGTTTGACCAGTCAGAAAATTGACCTCTTCTACCCTTTTCTGTCTAATCTCTTGCTGAACTGTGGGAGCATATTGCTTCACCATTTCCTGTTCCTTGGCTAGCCCCTGTTTGAGATTATTGAAGAAAAAAGACATGCAGTATTAGAGGTTTGGTTTCAACTCTTTTTTTTATGTAAGTTCGACCTTGCCAGTTTTCAGCAATGAAAAATTTAGCCTCGAATTTTCTATCCATTTTAAGGTCAGCTAACATGCATTAAACTGCAAGCAGTCGTGTAAACACCAAGATTTCCCAAAATGAAATTACCTTACAAACGTGCTGTATTATAAGAATCAAAGTACACGTTTCATATGCATACATGCACTTGTTCTTTAATATTGGTGTGATAACTAGTCATATTCATAGTATTATTCCTGCAAATATGTGATATATGTAATTAACATAATGTGCAATAGAAATTAATATTATTTGATCTTAGAAATTTAACATCAGTCCAGTATATCATCTCTAAGTATTGACCTGAATGTCAGTTCTCAAGAAAATATATTCTTTACCATCAAAGGACCCCATTGGAAATAAGTTCTCTATTTTATATTGAACTTTCATGGGTTATCCTGTGTTGTATATATTGTCTTGAAGTCAACAAGATCTTTGATTTAATTATGAATGTAAAGTTATTATTTTTCAATTAATTACTGTGTTAAAAAAACAATGTGATAGATATATCTGTGATAAATTGTCTTAATTTGTTTTGTAATAAAAAAAAAAAAAAGAATATGAAAATAAAGTCACACTGACCTGTGGCATTTTCAAGGAAACTTCAGGCTTTATGGTTGCTTTACGACCAAGGGAATCAATGTTCTTAGCTCTTGTTTTTCTAACTTTAGGTCTGATAGAAGTAAATTCTGATAATTGGTGTGTTTGTGGAGACACGTTGTTGAGAGATATGGGTTCATTCCCTTCAGTTATCTACAATAAAAACGATTCATTGTTTGATTTGAAGGAATAATACATGTTCCTCACAAAAACTCATTTTTCAAACAAACACTGTTACGGTCCAGTGGTCACTTTCCAGCTTAGACTCTAGCGGACAATCTATTATCATACTCAAAGCATTATGTTCTGCAGAATCGGGAACATCGAGAGCTTTAGCGAGGTATCGCGTCAACGTATGATATATTGGTCAATGTTGATAAAAAGGTATATATGAAACACATGTTTTCGAGTAAATGAGCTGATAACTTACTGATAAACTAGGAGCACCCATTGTTGTTTTCTCTGGTTGTTCGTTCTCGCTCTCCATACTAACTTTAGCTATTCCTGCAAAATAGTTTAAGTTAATATAATTCAAAGTCTTATCTAACTATGACACTTTATCAAAAGTAGATCTTTAGGATAAAAAAAGCTTTTGTACAACATATGTAGTTTTATTTAAACTTTAAGGAAAGCTGCGAATTTTTCTTTGTCACACTCTGACCTTAACAAGACTATTTTTGACCCCCGTGACATGATTCATATACTTTAGTGGGATTCCACTATACTACATTCCAATACTTTTCAAAAGCAGTTTCATATATTGATTACATAAATGATTTAACAATTTATTACAAAACCTTTTTATCTTAAAAAATAAGGTGTTATTTCTTTAACTACAAGTACAGCTGTCATCCGTGATATTCTACACTTAAGTTTACGTACATCTTTTTAAATTTTGAGTTGGGGATTGTGAATTTCCTTCAAGCTTTATCTTACCCTTTAATGAGCCTAGAGCTTGTCGTGCACTGAACCGATCATGGTGGTTGAGTAGAGTCAGCTCCCTCAGAAGAAATTTCATTTTAAAGTCACACTCGTCTGGTATCAGGTCATGCACAAAGTCTGTACTACTGTCAGCCATCTGCAACAACAAATAAATTCAGCAGCAGAAAGATCGTTCTCTGATATAAAACAAATTGTGTACAATTCGAGAATTATATGATATAGAAAGATATCAATTAATACATAGTTTGTCTCATTCATTTCTCTCCACAAGAGTTAAATTGACAATTTAACTACAAAGAGCAAGCAAAACAATTGTAACACTTGGGTTTAGCAGCACTTTGAAGCAATATGTCAGTCAAGTTTCATGATCAAATAACTTATGCTTTGTCCGTAATATTAGACGCACTGGGCAATAAAGTTTGAGACAATGCATTTCTTTACTTAATTAGCATACACTCGTTGATAACTTGTTGCATATCAGACTGGATGTTTCTATTGTTTGCAGCCGTGCTGAACATACCATTCTACAGTCACAGAGTTATAACAGTCTCATGATTTAAGATGACGCCAATTCGCCGTCTTTATGAACGAGTTGCGTGCTTAGAATGAGATGATGTATTCTGTCTTTATGATCACAGCTGTCAATTCACGGATACGCTTCTATGACAAAAGTTATAAATAAAATTATCAATATTTGTAACCTTGTTTTGAATAGTTACCAATATGTACTGTGCTAGAAAAAGAATTAAACACTGTTTAACAAGCTTATCCAGCTCTCAGAACAGCATCGTTACCACCTTAAGCATCTACCTTTGAGCATAATATTCCGGTCTGTAGCTCATGTAAGATCTTAAAATTTCTCTCAACTTGATGACATAATATCAAATCATCTAGTTCTTTCACTAAAAGAAAAGCATCATTGCAAAAGAAATAGTATCCAATTTAAAGATCAGGTTTGATAACCTTTGACTATGCTCATTTACCAAAAAGCAATTTATCAAAAGATAAACAGTGCCATAGCTATTTAGATTTGTAAAACCTTCTCACCAGTTCTATCAGTTTCCTGCGCATCTGGCTTAACTTGTCTTTACTTATACCATTGTAGTTTAAATTCCCATTGGTAATGAACTTGACAAGGATATGGTACCCTTTAAATAAGAACATTATCACGAGTCCGAAGGCAAAAGTATCAACTTTTCCTGTTATATCCTCTCTACTCAATCCAAACTTTCGAACTAGCCTGAAAAAAATATATCAAAAGAGAATATGATAAAAGTCATGAAACTTTATGAAAGAAATACCTTAAACCAAAGACTTCTGACAATTAGTTAAACACGGTAAAATGAAAAGTTTACAAACAAACAAAAATGTTATTACATTGAATATCTATCTATTCATCTTTTCGTTTATGACCAAAAGACAAACCTACAGGGTAAATGTCCTATTGCAACTATAATTCAAGCCTTACTCGTTTAAGAAGACTTGAGCTATCTTTCTGCATTATTTGATCGTGCCTAGCACACGAGAAGTGTCAGCGACATTCTGTTAGCTAGCCAGATAGCTCCCTCGCATGAAATATTTCACTGTACCTGACAGGATTCAATTCAACAAGGTAATTAACAATTTATTCAAAGTCATCACCTTACCATTTTTTCATTACTTAAATATAACCTTCAGTCGAGCATCCATTCACACCGTAAACTTATTTGTGGCAAGCAATAATTTCCGGTTATACAATAATCTGTAAGTTGCCTCAAGACCATTTGTTTCAAAAACGAAAAAAAATGGTATATTCAAGAACCTACTGGCGTTGCAGAAACATCTTGCAAACTTCAGGCGCCAAATATTCATAGGTCAATCCAACAAATTCTAGTTGTTCTTCTGAGAGTCTTGATGAGCCAAAGTCCGTCAGTTTTACTACAACATATCCATCTGCCCTAACCTTGATACAAATATTCTCCGCTGTTTAAAGTAATATGATAGTATATTATTAGAAGAATGTACATTATCTGATATTTGTTTGTGAAATTTTGTTTGGGTTTTACGTCACACCGACATAGTGTAAGTCATATGGCGACGTTCTTACAGATTTACTGGTGGAGGAAGACCTCAGGTTCCCTTCCGTGCATTATTTAAGGCACGAACTGACACCTGAGTAGAACCACAGACGTTCAATTATCTGAAATAACATATCTATATAAAGCAGATAATAAATTGTTCTAGAAATTTTTTTATCATCATAAAAATGATTACATGTATAGTAAATGACTTGCAACTCTATCAACATTATTTTTTAAGAAATATTTTATATGAGTATCCAAATGGTATATTTTTTTATCAATAAATGAAATACTTAAAAATGTGCCAAGTGTTGACAAATCCACTTTCATATGAATATCTGACACATTGAAGTAAGTATTAATTGCACGAAGTAATAAGGGTGGTCAAACTCAATAAAGAACTATAGGACTTGGTATGATGAAGTGTTAATGATGATTTATTATTACTCTCTCTACATTTTAATGTTCAAGTTAATGCATTTAGTGGTTTCAGAGATATTCAAATAAATATACAAGTTCGTCAAAAAGGGGTCATGAAAGTAGAAGAGTCATGAAACTTGGCCTACCGAGCACTGCTGTAACAATATAAACCCTCATTACACAATGCATGTAGAAGTTCTAAATATGCATGTCACAAAATGGACTTACGTTTGGTGCACTATGTTGTTACTGCTCATGTGATCTAAGCCCGCACATCCTTGCTTTGAAACTTCCCATTTTTGTGCATCAGTGAGAAGTCCAAACTGATCATAATACTTGTTTATAGCAAGTCCTAAAATATATTAAATATTTTGTTGTTTCATACAAATTTAGGCCAAAAGGTTTGTTAAAATTGAAAATTATATGAATAAAGTAGACCTGTCAGACATGATTATTCTCATATTTTTTGATAAATTTAAAAGCGTGAGAAATAGAGTCAATCTAATGCGAGCTTTATATACAAAAGTGTTTGTACATTTTCCAACACGTGATTTAAGCTTTAACAATAATTAGCTTTCTAACAAAGAACTGTTTTCATAAATAATAGCAATACGACGCCAGAACCAATCAACAAAAGACTGAAACAAGAGGGCCATGATGGCCCTGAGGTCGCTCACCTGTATATAGGCCCCCCACCCCTGGGCCAATTTTTACCCACGGGCTTTTATTTGTTTATTTGAACAGACTTGGTAGACACCCATAAGAAGATGTTTCATGCTAAACATCTAAGTTCTAGCTCATTGGCATTTTTAAAAGAAGATTTTTAAAGTTTTTACTATACACATATAGTTAAAAACAATGTCACCCCTGGGGCAGGGCCAGTTTTGACCCCCGGGCGTTTATTTTAACAAACTTTGTAGATATTTACTTAAAGATGTTTCATGCTTAATATCTAAACTCTAGCTATTTGGGGTTTTCCAAAGAAGATTTTTAAGTTTTTGCTATACACATATAAGGAAAATCAATGACCCCCCCCCCCGGGCGGGGCCAGTTTTGACCCCAGGGCTTTTATTTGAACATACTTGGTAGACACCCATTAGAACATGCTTCATGCTAAATATCTTAGCTCTAGCTCTTTGAGTTCTTTAAAAGAAGATTTTTTAAGTTTTTACTATATGCATATAGGGAAAATCAATGACCCCTGGGGCGGGGCCAATTTTGACCCCAGAGCTTTTATTTGAACAAACTTGGTAGACACTCATTAGAACATGCTTCATGCTAAATATCTTAGCTCTAGCTCTTAGGGTTCTTTAAAAGAAGATTTTTTAAGTTTTTACTATATGCATATAGGGAAAATCTATGACCCCCTGGGGCAGGGTCAATTTTGACCCCAGGGCTTTTATTTGAACAAACTTGGTAGACATTCACTAGAAAATGTTTCATGCCAAATATCTAAGCTCTAGCTCTTATGGTTCTTTAAAAGAAGATTTTTTAAGTTTTTACCATATGGAAAATCAATGACCCCCGGGGCGGGGCCAATTTTGACCCCAGGGCTTTAATTTGAACAAACTTGGTAGACACTCACTAGAAGATGTTTCATGCTTAATATCTTAGCTCTAGCTCTTTGGGTTCTTTAAAAGAAGATTTTTTAAGTTTTTACTATATGCATATAGGGAAAATCAATGACCCCCTGGGGCGGGGCCAATTTTGACCCCAGGGCTTTTATTTGAACAAACTTGGTAGACATTCACTAGAAGATGTTTCATGCCAAATATCTAAGCTCTAGCTCTTATGGTTCTTTAAAAGAAGATTTTTTAAGTTTTTACTATATGCATATAGGGAAAATCAATGACCCCCGGGGCGGGGCCAATTTTGACCCCAGGGCTTTAATTTGAACAAACTTGGTAGACACTCACTAGAAGATGTTTCATGCTTAATATCTTAGCTCTAGCTCTTTGGGTTCTTTAAAAGAAGATTTTTTAAGTTTTTACTATATGCATATAGGGAAAATCAATGACCCCCTGGGGCGGGGCCAATTTTGACCCCAGGGCTTTTATTTGAACAAACTTGGTAGACACTCACTAGAAGATGTTTCATGCCAAATATCTAAGCTCTAGCTCTTACGGTTCTTTAAAAGAAGATTTTTTAAGTTTTTACTATATGCATATAGGGAAAATCAATGACCCCCTGGGGCAGGGCCAATTTTGACCCCAGGGCTTTTATTTGAACAAACTTGGTAGACACTCACTAGAAGATGTTTCATGCCAAATATCTAAGCTCTAGCTCTTATGGTTTTTTAAAAGAAGATATTTAAAGTTTTTTCATTTGGTTGCCATGGCAACCAGAGTTCTGCATGGAATTAAATTCTTTGAACAATTTTTAAAGGTGACCACCAAAGGAACATTCCTGTGAAGTTTGGATGAAATTGGCTCAGTGGTTTATGAGGAGATGTCATTTAAAGCAAAAGTTTACGGACGGACGGACGGACGACGGACGGACGACGGACGGACGCCGGACGAAAAGCGATCACAAAAGCTCACCCTGTCACTTTGTGACAGGTGAGCTAAAAACACTGGGTTTCATGAATAAATAAAAACATTAAAAGTTAACGGAAAATTGTAGCTTCGATTTGGATAAAGATGGTAAGTAAACAATCACATACTTGAAAAGTATAAAAGAAGCATTTACATTTACATTTACACAACCTCATTCACTTTCTTTATTTTGTTTATTCTGCCCATATTCACAGTACATATCATACGGTAACTTTCCAGTATAATATTTATTGCCTTTGTCCAATTATTCATAATTCCGTTAAAAAAACATATGCATTTACCAGTAGAAAGTTACACTTAAAAGAGATTTGTAACAGGATTCAAACAGACTTTTGACAACTCACCGCAATACTCAAGCAGCAACTCCATGGTTGGATTCCCCTTGTCTTTACCGTAGTATCGCTGTATAAGACCGTAGAACTTGGTCAAGTTAAGATGCTTCAGTTTAGATGGTACAATTATTTCACTTGATCTTAACTTATTCTTTGAAACCTGTAAGTATAACAAGTTGGTGATAATGGCATTGCTCCGCTCAATAGAAAGAAAAAAATATTTTTACCAACCATGTGGTTTTATTTAAATATTGAAATATTTTTTAAAATGATACCTCTTTCTGTCCAGGTGAATCGTATACACAAAGTTTGGTGATAACACATCATAATCATGAACATTGTATTTGTTTTTAAGCTTTATTGTAAATGTCAAGTTTGCACTGTACAAATCCAAAATAATACTGGATGTTGTATGCACCTGGCTTACTGGAAAATATTTGTACAGAAGAAGATTGGTGTGTTGATATAGGTAAAGCATAAATCAAAGACACTTTATGCTCTATAGTATTCGTTTACCTCTATTTTTTAAAAGCGTTTTATTTCTGGTGTCCCATTTTAGTTTCCAAAAATTTACTCACTTGCCAATTCCCTGAATTTTTTTTTGCCATAAAGTAACAGCAAAGTAGTTATTTTACTTCCATACAAAATACTCACAATAACAAGCAATTATCATAGTATTGCAAGCAATCCATAAGTCCCCTACCGGTTAGAACCCCATCAACATTCTGAAGGGTCATTGGCCATTCACTAATGTTTCCATTTTTCTCTATTTTAAGTAAACTTGTTGGAAAAGTTAAAGTGATCACAGGAAACAGTTTTTATGAACAGACAGACAGACGGACTGAAGGACACTCTAAAGTTAATATTTGAAACATCCCTGTTACCAAAATATAACATTTTTAAAAGCAAAATTCTTAAAGAGGAGATAACTCTTGAATTAAAGATGCAATTTCATAAAAAAAATCAGCTCTTTTTGACTTAATCACAAATATTGAAGTTATATTTACCATGTTTTAAGCCTATTTGTTGCCAAGGCAACCAATATTTTTTCAAAATAGGACAAAAAATAAGACATGCATAATCTCCAGACTGCCATCTACCCATATTTCAAGTTTCATAAAAATATTTCCAGTACTTTTTGACTTATCACTGGATCCAGTTTATGTGTAAAATTTGCCATATTTTCAGCCTATTTGTTGCCATAGCACCAGAATTTTCAACATAGGAAGAAAAGAAAAAGACGTGCATAATCTCCATACTGCCATCTATCCATATATCAAGTTTCATAAAAATATTTTGGGTACTTTTCAAGTTATCGCGGGATCCAGTTTTGTGGACGGACGGACTGACAGACAGACGGACGGACGGACGGACGGACGGACAGACAGACGGACAGACGGACGGAGGGTAAACCTAAAGTCCCCTCCGATAAACCGGTAGGGGACTAATTACATTTTGCTCATTTTATAACATATTACTTCACACTTAGCACTACTTTTTAGGTAGTAAGCATCTAAAATACATCAAACCCTTTTTTGCGACGGACGCGCCCTCAGGCGCGTTCAGAGCTAAGTCATCTACACATGGGATTTCGTTGGCTACACTCGCGCAATGTGTCCTAAACCGATTAACAGCCCAAGAAATAGTACATGAATTTGATCTTTCAAAACTCCCATACTTTGTCTGGATATCTTAATGTCTTCCATATTTAGCCTTTTCAATTTCAAATTAAGTTATCCAAGTTAAAATATGAACGTATATTATTGATAAAAACTTTGTAGTCCCGTAGTATTATTGCGCAATATGCAAATTACTGCTGAAACGATTTACCGCTGTCGAAAAAGTAGGACAGCAAATTATACTACAATAAAGGTGTAACCTCTGAGTTCCAAGACATTATTAGGAAATAAATATTTCTACATCATACAAAACATTATTATTAACAAATCAAAAGTTTTTCGTGACTCTAGGATAACTCGCGCATTAATAAAAGAAGAACTCTTTTCGTGACTCATACCGCGGGTTTAGCTGAATATTCAGCAGTTATTAATATATTAGATTCAGTACAATAGTTAGTATAAATATCTATTTTTGAAAATGCATGTAAGAAGAGAGTTTTTCAACACTTTACCGCCATGTAGTCTTTCATGGTAAGGAAGTTATAATATCAGTTCTACTTCCGATTCTTGTGGTTTGTTTACATATTTTTCTAGGTCATGATATGAATTAACCTTCGCTATTCTAAAAATAGATTCTGCTTCACCTGTTCTGATTTTTGGACAGGCGATTAGGGAGTACACATTATACATGTAATTAATAAACCAGCGGATTACATGCAATACTTTTAGAAATTCTATACAATTGTAAGAAGCAAACAAGTTGAAAATGGAATTTAGTGTGAAATTGAAAAGGACAACTAAACACTGTAGTGCTTAAGTGACATTTAAATTAAAATAAAAACGATGTGCTCTGGCCTCTACATCTTTACCTTGTAAATAAAAAAAAATCTAAAAAATACACTATTGATTGCTGATGATTTTAACCAATTTTTTTTTAATGAGACATATGATTATCCAAGAGAAATAAAAATACAAATGACTTATATTTTATTGTCTATATGCGCACTATGATATAACAGGAAGCAATTCTAAATAGCATTCTCAAAGGTATAATGTATTATGTTTGAAGTTTATTTGCCTGGATTTATTTTAGAAATATTTCGTTGACAGTTTTTTTTTCTATTTACATATCATTTCTTAGAATAAATCGATAAGGAGACTGATTTACAAGTTTGACCAGAGTTTTTAGGCATGAATTTCATTCTGTATTTTAGTGCTTGAAAGTAGAAAATCTGAATTATATCAGTTTGGGACACAAAAAATATTGCTCTACAAATCTCGAACTTGTATGGAACAAATTTTCTCTGTTATATATTTTGTGTTTTGCTTTTGTTTAAAAGAAGCCTAAATGTCTCTCCGGTTGCATGTCCGTCGCATTCAGTGCTGCAGCACTTTGATTACTTTCACCGGGAATAAAGTAAGGAGGTTTTATCAGCTTTAATACCTGTTTTATGACGAACTGTTGTCTTGTTTTCTTATCCTGACAAAGACTGACTTCACCAAAAGAACCTCGACCAAGACATTTTCTTCTCACAAAATGTACATTCTCTTCATAGCAATCAGACTCTGGGACACATGTCTGGAAATATATATATAAAAGTTCCTTCCTGATCTCATTAAAATGATCAGACATTTCAAGTTATTTCATTACAGCCATAAAATAAACACTGCGTCATGTAGTAACTTTTTTATATTGTTTTTGGTCCCATAACTCATTTGTTCTTATAGTACATATTCATCAGTGTTTGATTTCATATCATACCAGATTTATGAGCGAATTCCCTTTTTTGATAAAGAAGGCCTAACATGATATTCTGTGTGCAGTGTTTTTGATACAATGACTTGAACCAGCTAGGGCTGCGTTTCATTGAAAGTCTTAACTGTATCCTTAATCCAATGACATAAAACCAACTTTCAGACTAACTACGGACCATTTCAATAAACCCTCTAAACTATAATTAAATTTATTTTCCTGAGAAAAGTTACGCATTACAATGACCAACCATTTTATTCGCAATGTGTATGTACTCAATCATCTGCAATACTATTCAGAAATTAAAAGAATCATAGCACAGAAGTCACAAGTTTAGACGTATTCTTTGAAATACAAAATCGTCTCCGTTTTGGTCTCTAGACTGATTTCAGACGTAAGGCATCCTATGAAACGCAACCCTGGATTTTACAAAAAGCCCTAAAGAGCCTAGCTGGGTAGCTATCTCATGTTAAAAGAGCAAGGAATATATTAATTTATTCAACAGTAACGAAGCCTATTCAGACTTTATTTAAGATATTTCTTGTACATTTGTTTTTAGAATCAAGTCACATCTTGTCCCAATTGAGTACCTATTACACAACCACTTACTGATCAAATAATCTCTATCAGTAATAAAATTTTGCTTGCGGAAAAAAAGTTATATTCATATAGAATTTATACATGTAACTTTCACAATGTAACAAATTAAAGAATATCATATGGTCCTTACCTTATCAACAATACACCCTGTTTCTTCATCCAAACGATTCCGTAAACCATTAACCATATCTTCAAGTGCACGAACTCCTGTATATTTCACAGTCCTGAACAATATAAAATAGTCAATAATTTACAATATGTATACAAAAATTACATGTGATAGGTAAAATATAATAATTATAATAGAATCTCAAACACCTTAAATGTTCATTTCTGTTGAATAAGAAATACATCAATTTTTTTGTATATACAAAGGCAAAAGAACAAAGTATGTAAAACAGTTTCAAGTTATGTAAATAGTATTACCCTCGTGTGTATCGTTTGGCTGGGACGTCAAACGTTTCTTTACTGGTGTTCTTTTTCAAATCCACACCAAATTCCTTTGCATTTGCCTCATCAGTGAGTGGTACTGACGGACCTTCTGTGAATGTTTTCGTTGACTTATCAGTTGTGGCTGCTGATACTTTAGTTTTTGATTTTTCCTCGGGTGTAAATGTAGGATCGGGAAGCTGATTTAAGTTGTCCAATGTAGGATGAGTTGCAAATCCTTTTGGAACAGGTTGCTTCCCTTGTGGATACTGTTTTTGTGAAGTAAAAGATACTTCATTTGTACTTGAATGGGCGGTTCGAGGCTGAACATCACTTGGCTGGATGACATGGCCAGCAATATTCACTTTTTTCTCTTTTAAGTCAACAAAATGCTCATCTGGATTTGACATTTTGTTTACTGGGTCTGAAAATTTAAAACATCATATTATTGCATATTTTAAATCCACGTTTTAACTTCATTTATGTGAAATTTTAAAGCATGTAATGTGGTAGGAACTGTTATACGAAAATACAAAATCTTATCGTCTTCCTGATTTTACAAAAGAATGCAACAGTCGCTTTAAAACAGAAGCTATTTGAAGAAAAGGCTTGCTCCACAGACTGGTTCAATTGCGCATCAGGGATGTACGCTGTCGCCGTCTCTCTGGGCAGTATTCTCTAATGACCTAGTGCGAGAAATCAATGACCTTGATCTTGGTGTTAACATAGGAAATGTGAAAGTCTCGATATTACTATACGTTGACGATATAGTGCTTATATCGGATACCGAAGATAAATTGCAAACATTGTTGGACGTTATTCATTCTTGGTGCAAAAATGGAGAGTTTTAATTCATACTAGATCTCATTAATTCAAATGTATTCACGTCCGTCATGGGCGCACACAACGTACAGAAATCATGTTTAAAGTCAGTGATAATATTCTGGAGACGGTGATATTTGACGAGAGAAACTCATTTTAATTTCTGTAAACTTTGAAACCTTAGCAAAATGGGCAGGACAGGCGAGTTTATTACAAAAGTACTGTCAATTTATCATGCGTTGGCGAAACTCTGAAAACTGATTCTAATATGAAATGGCAAAATGACATTCAACACGTAAATAAGTAACGTGCATATTGCAAATTCAAAACGTTTTTCACAAAAGAGGAATGCCTTACACTAAACCTAATTCTATACTTTAAGCCCCCGATTGCAATGTCAGTTTCGATTCGGAATTCTACCGTTACGAATTGAGACCGACCTCCCAATCAGAGGCTTTATGATAGCAATGAAGTGAACAGTGAAAACATTTTCTATTACCCTGTGATAAATACTTGACTCTTGGAAATAATGTATTCAATAATACTGTCAACCAAATAATTATTTATCTCTATTGGACTTATTACATGTATGTTTGTTAATGCAATCAAATACAATAAAAGTATCCACATTTTACGAAGAAGTGCATTGTATCCTTAAGCAGTATTTTAACATCTGTTTCAACATATTTTCGGCAAATTATGTGCTATACTTTAATTACAATTTGTAATTTTAAAGAGGTTATGACAATCAGTTACTTAATATACACTCGGATAGTTATATATATATATTTTTCCTTTCAGATTATAAAATTTCATGTAGACTCTTCTTATATTGTTAAGCAAATTTCAAGATATGATTTTTATTAGTGTTTCACATGTTTATTACCTGTATATAATTTACATTAACAATAACTTTTATTCCATTTTAGAATAAATTCCATTTTCGTAGAGTCCTCTCGAATGTCATTCGGTCTCCAGTGTTTTCCAGAATTTAAATAATGTCATTTCTGATTGATTGATTGATTGATTGATTGATTGAATTGAATTGATTGGATTTCTTTAGACCGGGCGGTCAATGATAACCTTCGAAAGTGCAAGCACTTACTTTTAATAGGGTCCTTACCTCAGCAGACTCCAGAGACAGCTGTGACATACAATTAAGAGAATCCGGAAACCAGCCCCTAGCTCTTATTGAATAGACCCCTTGGTTCTTTTATAGCACTGATACATGCGTTGCGTTTTGGTCTGGCACCTAAAAAGATAGACATACATATTCTACAATGTAAAAACTCCACTCATTTCACCCACGTGACCCAGACGTAGGGCCGTGGTAAGAATTGACAGGTACCCAATAAATAATCACCGTAATTTTGACAATAGTAGTTAGTTAAGAGGTAGGTAATCCAAACTAAGTATCAGAATGTAATGTGCAATAAAAACAAACCCATTTATTTCCGATTATTATCGTTTTCTCACATCAGAGTAATAGAAATTAAAAGTGATAATATGATAATGTTAAAATGTAACATAAAATTATCGTAATATATGCCAAATATAAATATTTGCACGCAATAATGTTTCGACATTGAGTGATACATTTGAAAATTTTAAAATTTGACTATTAAAGATATTTTCTCGTGGTCGTTTTCTCACAATAAAACAGTTTCACATTAAAGCAGCATGCCTCCAGATTCGTGCTTATTTTCATTCAGATTTTGAAACTTTAAAAGTGTAATGTTGCGAAGTGAACAAAAAGTAATTTACGCATCGCAAACGGCACTCACAATCCATGTAATTTATCAGAAAAAATATCACAACTGCGTTAGTCACGAGATTGAAATATGGTCATAAATACTGCAAAATAAGTCATTTATCGTACGAAACATGTACTGGAATCCTTCATATTACGGGAAAAAATATGTTTTTGTCGCTTTAACTTTTATTTAAAACCATAAAAAAATGGAATTTTACCTTATTGATTTTGGGTTCTAATTACACGTAAACGTTACCTTATCAAGCACGAAATTTTAATTTATTACACCCAAGCACTAGATATGTACTTAGTTTTTATTGTAAAAAAATAAATAAACACCGTTCATTCAATCAGAATTAGATTTTTTTGAGTGGGTCGTCCTATAACCGAGTGATTAAGGTCGTTGACTTCAAACCACTTGACCCTCACAGCTGTTAAGTATGTAATGCCTCCATGTTGAGGTTTTTGAATACTTTTGTTTTTTTTCTTAGTTTGATATGGCGTGATTTAATTAAATGTATCTTTGTGAATCATTTCATTAAAATTTTTATGTTATCTATACCTAGTAAGGAAATATTAATACGAGATCTATGAATTATGTAAGCTTCAAAAGTATTATATAAATAAAAACCTGGTATTCATTTAAACCAAAATTGAGAAGAAAACAAAACATAATAACAAAACAAAAACAAAACAAACAAAAACAAAAACAAAAAAAACAAAAAAACAACAAAAATATTGCACTTACCTTTATAATAAAATCCCCGGTTATTTCCCAACTTTGTTTATTTTATCTTAAAATAGTAACACTTGGGTTTTCACGCTACTATCTTTAAACGCGTTACCTCATCGATTATCAATTTTTCGAAAATAGACCATATCAGCGGGCATATACTATATTTTGTTAACTATTTAAGGGATCTAATGTGGTTTACCTTATTGTCATATGGGTACATGTTTTATGTGCATACAATATATCTCCCATAACAAGGCCGTCTCTATATACCAAGTGTATGATTAATGTTATGTCAGAATGATGGGATAATCCCATACTAAGATTAATGTTCTAAAAACTACTATTTCGATATTATAAAAAGGGGCAAGACATTTATAAGGTGTGCCGTCTTTTTAATTTATAACAAACCTTGTGAGTAAAAGATAGATTCAATATTTACATGTATACTTACGATAAAAGTTGTCAGGAACGTAATTTCAGCTTGATTGCTTAAGTTTTTAAGCACAATTTCCTTTTTTCAAGCAAATGTTTTTGCGCATATATTATTTGTAACCAATGTTAAAGTAACTTTAAAACAGTCATAAAACACATTGGACACTTTATTCTTGACTGCTAAATAACATATATTGTATAATTATTATGTGATGTTTTAATATATACGTATGTATTCATGTATAGTACAGCTCTTTTATTTTTCTTACGACCAGCAAATGAAATCATTGTCACTGTTCACAGAGTTTGGTATGAAATTGTTTTGTTTTTAGTTGTGGGGGGATTTCTTTAGTAAACTGTCGATTTTTACCGACACTATGCATGTCATTAAATCATTTTCAAGCATGTTTGCAGCGGGTTTAAACACTTTTTAAGCACTTTTCAAGAGAATAATCAAATTCAATGACTTTTAGGCACTTTTTTCATTGTTTAGCACTTTTTTCATTATTAAGCACATTTCAAAGCCACTAGTCCAAAATGGACTCAAATTTGAGCACTTTTTAAGACTGTACGAACCATGGAACCTAACACTAGGGTTCACATTTTTGTCTTGGTAATTGACACATAATTCTTTCAGTAATTCATGTAGCTGACATCCTTTTCCGAGTAATTGTGCGCAATTTCAAATATCGGTAATGAGTATAACTTTTTTTTTTCTTCTTTTACAATATATATAGCTTGTAGATAAGTGTCCATTCAATATGAGTAATTGCATTCATGATAACTAAATGTTTAATACAGTTCTTAAAGCTAGTCACAATCAAGTTCTATTTTGATGCATTAAATATTACTTTTATATTACTAAGACCAAACCTATGGCTTTCATTTAGATGATGACTTTTACAACATTTTGTTATTAGCCAAAATCTGTAACTACAGTAACGTTGTACATTCATTAATTTATAAATTTCTAAAGAGAAATATGTTTTAACCAATTAGGGAATTTAATGTTTAATGAATTTTAAGTATTTATGTTCTTCATGGAACTACAAAGTTGTGGTAAAAATAAAATTGATCATAAAATTCAGTGTGTAGTTAAATTAATTTCATCTGAAAAAAATTATGGAAATCTAATCAATTACTTTACAAAATTTGTCTAAAGTAATTGGTAATCAAATTAAGATTTTGCAATGCAATGTGTAAAATAGATAAAAACAACCCAAGGTCTTCCAGCAATATCACGAGTTGGTGTTTGGAGACCTTTTTTAAATATTTACTTCAACTACAATGTATATACCATAAGGAAGAAAACTGAAACTTTTTTTTCCATTTGTTCTCTCATTTATTCGAAAGCTTATATTTACAATACTACAAAGAGATTTGTTAGTTTCATATATAAATAATACTGTTTACTTAAATGTTTCAGCTATAAAGCAGTTTAAAATATAACTTTAATGATTTTAACAATTGTATAATTATCTCTTTATCTATAATAATAAAGACATGAAACTGAAACTCCAACAAAAGATTGGTCCCAAATTAAATAACCACAATTCATAATATTTTTACTTCACAAAATGTGTAAAAAAATCATAAAGACAGTCAAACTTTTAAATGCAAACTCAAAGACTTCACTTTGTCACTTAATACCTTATTTTTATGTTTTGATTATCCCTAAAGGCCATATTTCTTACGTTTTAATTTTGTCACTAATTACTTTATTTTTGTCTATAGAATGTATGATGATATGTACAAAATATACGCCCCTTTTAAATGAAAAGTAAGCAAATTTATTTGTTTTTAGACCATCTGTCAAAAAGTAGGTTTTCTATTCCACTAGATTTCCTCAGTCTACTTATTTCCATTTCCCAAAAAACAGTTTTGTCTGTGTCTCAACATCCATAAGACCATTTTACACCCCCCCCCCCCAACACACTACTTAATGTTCCATTCCCAAAGAAAACATTTTTTCCTTTTCCCAAAAATGGTTTACTTTCAAAAGTTTGACTATATGAAGTAATACTGTAACACTAGGTAAAACAATGTGTTATATGTAAGCATGTTAGTTCCATACAAGCACTCATACAAATACAAAAAATATTTTTGCATCTTCCAGCAACTGTGTAATATGAAATGCTACAAATCTTGTTACAATTTTGCATTTTATTTTCAATTTTAAATTTTCTGCAAACATATACATAGAGCAAATAATATTCAAATCTTCTTGTTTTCTTATATTTTATATGTCTATTTTTCTTTTTTTTTCTATTTTTCCTATACATAATACAAATAAGCAGCCGATGGGTGGTGTTGTTTTTTTCACATTTATTCTAATATATTTGTGCACAAATGTTGTTGTGCAATATATTCCAAAAATTTTTTTACTAAGCAAAATAGATTCTATTCTAATACAAGGAGTAATCTAATCACCCTTTGTTGAAACTCTGTTTGTACTGTTTGGGATTTTTTTCTTGTTTCTTTTTTAATATACATTTTTTCATTATCTTTTTTAAAACATTTTTATAGTATGATATAAAATAAGAAAGATGAAGATGCAATAATATCTTTACTTCCTCATTCATTCATTTTTATAATTTTTTTTGTATTTTTTTCTCCAAATCCCTATACACTATGAAGTTAAACATTACAAATCAAAAGTTCATACATTATGTAGTTAATAAAAACCATTTCCCCCCTCCCTCCAAAAAAACGCATTCTGATTTAAGTATCATTTTAACATCTCCATTAAATGAAAATAAAAGCTTTTAAAACCTTATTATGTTCATAATGTCTATGGACAAAATTAATTGTTTTTTCTTCTTTTTTTGTTATATTTGTTAAATTTATATTGTTGTTGTTTTTGGTTTTTTTTTATGTGTTTGAGTTTTTGTTTAGGTCTCAATATATAAGTAATAATTCATAATAATACTCTTTACATAAATGATAAAAATAAAATAATAAAAGATCTAAAGCTAAACAAATCATAAGAAAAAAAATCCTTCCAAGTCAGGCAAACTTTACCAGTAGACACTATTTCTAAGTCATAACCTTTGTGTAAAGAAGATTTCATATTAATTAGAAACAAAATTGAAACGGAATTCTCTGATTTATCGTTTTTTAACTTTTTACTTTTTTTGTTCTCCCTATGAGATTTCATTAATTTCAGGATGACACAAATATAAGTTGTAAAATGGAAATAAAAAAATGTGTGAAACATTGACAAATATGGCACAGCTGTTAGAAAACACAACTTTATACATGATCCAAACAACAATACCTGACCTTAATTAACAAAAAATGCTTCAATGAAAAAAGAAAGTGTCATGAAAAAAATATCTGTGTGAGTGAAAAAAATAGAGAACAAAAAATAAATGTTTATCAGTAGGTTTCCTTTTTTCTTCATTTTTTTTTATAATTTAAGTGTTATTTCTTTCAATATCATATTATTATGTGTTGATGCTAAAAACTGAAATGATGACTAACCCCTTGTCAGTGTCCACTTCTTGTACCTCATACAAAAGAATTCAATTTTTAAAAAAATAAATTAATGAAGCATACAGGTTTAACGGTTTTTGAGACGAAAAAAACTCAAATCTGTTAAAAGAAAAATATGAGAAAAAGTAAAGAAAAACATTTGTAGATTTACACAATTTATAAATGAATACACATATGACTGTACATGCAATAAAACTTTTAATATTACATATAGAAAGAATGTTTACTGTTTACATATTAATGTTCACTTATTTATTTTGTACATTTTGATAAATTCTTTTTCACATTTAAGTCTTAGCATTTTTTTTGGTCAGTTCATATTCATTTTTATCCTTTTTCTCAATTAAAGTTTTCTTAAACTAAGGGCGCAAATCTTTTGATTATTAATTATTTGTAGTGTTAAAAAAATAATAAATAAATAAATAAAATATGTTTTTTCAACATTTTCAAAATATTATTCTTTTTATGAACTCTTTTTCTTTAAATTCCGTTTTCAATCCCCCCAAACACATGTTACTTAGGCAATATTTAAATGACAAAAATACAGACATTTTTCTTTGCTTTTCAGACTAAGCTCCCTTTTGATATTTTTATAAGATTCTTTCTTAAAAAATCTGTACATGTGTATAAATAATTTCTCTTTGTTATTTAAAAACAACAAAACAAAACTTTTTCTTCATTTTTTTTTGTATTAAATTCATTATTTTAGGTTTTAGTAATTTCAGCAGTGTTTAATGGTAAGTATTTTACTTATATTGCTATTTATCAAAAAACATTAGTTTTTATACAAAAAACAAAAACAAATCAAAGTAATATAAAACACAAAAGATCAAAAGCATAGAAATACATAAAACAACAATTTCTTTCCAAAAATGTCAAACTATCACTACATGTAATATAGTCACTGTGGCTGAACTAAACTCGGATCAGTCCACTTTACGAGAACATCGAAAATTTAGGGAGTGCAGGCCCATTACTCTCCTCCTCCTCCATTTGTATTGGACTATTCCCAAAAGTTTTCACACCAGCCAGCAATTGACCGCTTTCAGTTGTCGAGCTGTCTAGGTTTATAACCTCTGGCTGTACATTTGGCTCTGTTTTCACCACCCTTCTTTGTTGATACTCTGGTTGTACTGTTGATTGTGCTCTCATTGCCTGCTGATCCTTGACAAATTTCTCCGTCATTTTCTTCACCCACAACTTCTGTATGAGTTCCTACAAATACAGAGAAAAAATCCATATTTTCGCAAAAGAGCTTAAATAAATATGTTTTAAACCAAGTTCAATTTTTATGAATGACCGCGAAGATTTTTGCGTATGCATATGTATGTACTGCAGCCAAATGGGCAGCGCAACTTCAGATATTTGATAATGCATCCTCTTCATACAACAAAGAAATGTTTTAAATCCAGGTATATCCGTTGTACAAAGTCAGCAACACCCTACCCAGTTACAGCTGCACCGTTAAAGTAATTCAGACTTTTTGGCTTGACAGCCTGTTGTTATATTAGCTTACTAAACATTATCATCTTCTAAAATGCTATTCCCGTAACATTCCTTAAACTAACAATGGTAGTGGGGCAAGCAGTTTTAAATCACATAACCCTAACTATTTTGCCAAAACGCAATATGTATGAGGAAAAAAATATTTACAGATATACAGATTTACAGATATATTTATCTGACTGATCCATAATACTTGTTTTTAAAAAAAATATAAACATGAAGTTATGTTTACTTGTGGTATATTCATAACAGCTTGCGGCTGTTGTGCTGCAATGGAGTACTGTGCTCGTTTACCACCAAGAGAGACAACATTGTCAGTTTTCATCGGTCTCACTGTAGGCCTGATACAATTAAATCCGGCCGGCACTTGTTGGCTAGGTCTGACAACACTGAATGCTGGTTCTTGTTGGGCTTGCAGCGGCACTTTGCTCACGCTATGAGTTGCTTCTGAAGAAGGATGAGCTATTGAAGTATTCTTTTCTGTCATCTACAAAAGGAATAGTTCAGTTTATTTTGAGCTAATATGAACATTTCTGACAAAAATTTAAAAGTGATCATACTCTGTTACAGTCATATGGTCACTTTCCAGGAAAATTCAATAGGACTATCCAAGCATTATTTCAGGAACTTTGTTTTGGGTTGGATTTTAAGTCGACCAGCATTCTAAAGTGTAAAAAGTTATATGGTGACTTTCCTGTTGGAAGAAGACATCAGTTTGCTCTTCTGTTCATTATTTCAAGTGCAAACTGGCATCCGAGTAGAAACACTGACATACCGTAAGCTAACTGGATAACTTCCAGACTGATAGAGTACAAAGTCCTTCGCGAGATTTCAGTCATTCATAGGTAGACAATAAGCATATCGAGCTTTCGTAAACTATCTAACCAACTTAAGATACATTCTTCTTTCATGTCAACCCCAACAAGATAATATATGAATTCTTAAAGCAGACGACTTCACATTTTTCATACATACCGACGAGACAGAGTTTGTATCTTCTTCTACAATTGTCTCCGGCAAAGACTGACCGAGACTTAGATCCTGGAACTCCATTATCGGAGTCATTGGCATCTGTTTGCTGGCTATTCCTTGTCTTAGATCATTCATCTCATTCATTGGTGACTGGGGATACGTTGTCTTGCCGCTTCCACACTTGCTGCCCTTCTTGCCAGACCTGTTGTAAGGGTTCTGCTTCGTGCGTAACGCATCCTTCGTTTTGTTTTTCACTGGGCCATTCTCACTTTCCATACAATTTTCGGCAATTTCTGCAATGTGTAAAATTTAAAAAAAAAACTATTTTATTGGAATCTGTCTATGATTACAAAAGCAGAATCTTTAAACCCTTTTTTCATTTTATAGAAATTTGCTAAAAACTTTTACTTTACACTTCCCTTTTTATTACTAGTACACTTTACAGATGCCCCATGTTCGTTTGGATGTTAAGGTCATATGAAGGAAAAATGTAGGTGTCCCTTCCTGTCTTTTGTGGTATAAAGGATGGTCTGAGTAGAACCATCAACATCCTCACATGAAAGAATCCCAAGTCCTTGATGGGATTTGAACCCACATCTATGATTAACCAATGATTAACATATTATCTATATGCACAAATTCTGTAAATCTAACTATTTTTCCCTTAACATAGAAAGCAACAGTGCAGTATTACAAATATGAGCCGCGCCATGACAAAACCAATATAGGGGAACGGTGGCCTAGTGGTTAAGGTGTCTGCCTCTCAACCCAGGGATCTTGGGTTCAAGCCCTAATCGGGTCACGACCATGTATCTTCATATGACACCAGTGCTGGTTGGTTCCAGGAAGCGGACTCGAAAGTGATTAATATAAGTTGCAAGAACTTGTTTCGCAATCGAGCTTAAATAAATATGTTTAAACAAAAACCAATATAGTGCATTTGCGACCAGCATGGATCCAGACCAGCCTGCCCATCTGTGCAGTCTGAACAAGATCCATGATGTTTGCTTACAAACCTTATTACAAGTAGAGAAACTGAAAGCGAACATCATGGATCCTGATCAGACTGCTGGTTTTGCCATGGCGCGGCTCATATGTTACAGGTATTGTGGTCATGTATACTTAGTTGTTGGCTATATAACCCATGCTGCCCACATATAACCTTTTATGTAATAAAACATACTACAATGCTGACAGTGATATACTGTACCTGGTATTTCGATATCCATGTTTTGCACCTGACCTTGAAGAGGATTGTAAACTTCTCTTCCTCTCTGCTCTGGTCTTGTTGTCATCTTATTTCTCCGATCTTTATCTATTACAGAAACAAATTTATCATAAATGATTACCAACATAATATTAAATAATATTATTGACTCTTTTTTTTTCAAAAAATATATCATTAGGTACAAAACATTTCAGGATGAATTTTTCTTAAGCACCTCAAAAATCTGTAAACTGACATGAAATTGCAGGCTCAAACCTTTGACCTGTAAAATTAATTTTCATATGACCTTGTGCCTGAAATGTGGGTTCTGTACAGAACTATTTAAGTAGTATCATGAACATTCTACAAATGGTTCATACTAGTAAGTTAGACAGCAGAAACAAAATTGAAGGATGTTTGTACTTTGACCTTATACTGTGACCTAGAGGTTGGACATCTGATATGGTTGGACTATGCATATATCTCAAGGATTATATTTGACACAAATTTCATGAAAAAAACTGTAAGCGTTTAAGAAAAGAGCTGACAACAATTAGCTAACCGACAGACAAATGGATGGACAACATCGGGAATAATATGACCTTTCAGTGTATAAAAATGGAACAAATGAGATTTCTAGTTCACTATCCCTTTTCTCTATTAATTTTTCTAATTATCTTGGTTACTGTGCTTTCTATCAGATCTACCCCCGAATTGGTATTATATACCCATTTCAAGCATTGTTTTTGTGACACATTGTAACCAGCTTGCTTATCTAGTCCCCTTCACCATGCTCACATTTATCAAACGTTCTTATTTTACCTTCAATGTAGTCAAGAGCCTGTCGTGCACTGTAACGATCCTGATGTTTGTGTCGTGTAAGCTTCAACAATAGATCTCTCATGTCAATGTCACACTCGTCGGGAATCAGGTTCTGCACAAACTCTGTGCGATTGTCAGCCATCTGCGAAAATAATTCAATTCATTCAAAAAAATGGACTATATATTTGGGTGAGAGATACAATTAATAATATGTTGAAAACATCTTTTGTAAACTTCCTCTCGGATGGATGGGAACGAAATATAGGCACTTCTTACAAGGGATTCACAGTAAAAATCCTTGGGTACTTTAACTATGGGGTGGGTCGTAAAAGAAAATGCATCTTAAAACAAGGGATATATATGCAATCACTTTATATACCTGACTTGGATTTGTAAACAAGCATTATGACCAAAAAAGCTAAATAATAATTATCCTTTAAGTTTAACTTGGTGAGCTTATTTGGAATAAAACTTGAAACAGGAAAACAGAACTACTTTCATATCTTATATCTATATTCATATCTTGACAAAGAGTGTCTGAAACAGGATATTATAGTAAATCCTCCAGAACTTTAGATACAATAAAATCTCACCAGTTCCATTAAGTTTATGTGCATCATTTGATCTACTCCGTCGTAACTCGTATTCCAGTTATTAATGACCTTGACAAGGATATGGTACCCTTTATACAGGTACATGATCACAAGTCCGAATGCGAATGTGTCCACTTTTCCTGTTATATCCTCTTCTGTGAGGCCGAAATTTAGCCTCCTCAATCTGATAAAATAATGATTAAGACTATTTTGTGTGTCACAAATTAGAATTTAAAATTGCAGCCTTGACAGCTTAAATTCAAAATGATTTGTTTATATTCCTACAGAGAAAACAAACATTCCAACTCTACCCTTCTCCCATACAATTTCATTTCTTTTAACTTTTTTATAATTTTATTTTTTATATTTGTGGTAGGGGGTTGGAAGTGTGTTCAAGTTGCACTGACACACAGTCATATCTTTACATTCATGCTTTACCAGAGATGGATAACCTTCAGTTCCCCTCTATGCATTGCATCAGAGAAAGCAGATCCCAAGTAGAACCATCAATCTTCAATTAACTAGCTAGATAGCTTTCTCAAAGGAAAAAAATCCACAGTCACTGGAGGTTTCAAAAACTGTCATCTTCAAATAATTCTGTAAACAACCTTTGCTACTTAGCCATTTTCTCTACAAAATTATCATTTTAACTTTATATATGAGATAGTGAGATGACTTTCATTAATTTTGTGCCATATAAAGCTCACATCAACATTTTTAGCTTGAAAAGTGAACGTAAAATTAAAACATTTATGCCCTTACTGTTGTAAGAACATCTTGCAAAGTTCAGGAGCCATATACTCTGGTGTAACACCCACAAATTTCAACGGCTCTTGTGGTAGCCTTGATGAGCCGAAGTCCGTTAGTTTTACTACGACAGATCCATCTGGCCTGACCTCGATACAAATATTCTCCGCTGTTAAAAAAATATATGAAAAAAAAACAAATTTCTAAAACATTAATCTCATGATCAAGTGGGGAAAATAACCAAACTCATTAAACAAGTCTAGGACTAATGATTGCTAGCTGCATGGGTTCAAACCCCGTAAGGGGCAAGTCATTGTTTCCTTGAGCAAGAAACTTTACACGCAGTGCTCAGTATTGAGAACTGGTTGGTTCAAGGAAGTGATTCGCAAGTGTGTCGATAAGCTTATAGCTTCCTACACAAACGAACTAAAATAAATTCTGTATAAACCAAGTCTAGAACAGTGTTATAAATCGAGCCTAAACCATTTTCATTGGATAAGTTAAATGTAATCAACTATTGTATGACTCTCTCTCTCTGTCTCTCTCTCTCTCTGTCTCTGTCTCTGTCTCTCTCTCTCTCTCTCTCTTAACCTGAAATGACAAGTATGTCAGTCTGAAACAAATAACTTTAAGTCAACAAAATTTCTGTTTATTATTGCATATCTTACGTTTGATGTCAAGGTGAACTATGCTGTAATGACTGATGTGAACTAAGCCGGCAAATCCTTGCTTTGAAACTTCCCACTTCTGTGCATCTGTCAGCTTATTCCCGTGCTGATAATACTTGTTTAGAGCATGTCCTAAAATATAAATGGTTTTCTTAAATAATGTTCTTCTAGACTATTAAAAAGTGAGAGAAATGTAGTACCAGATTCATCTACCTGAACCATGATTCAGGCCTTATAAATTTCATTCTTTTGCCATTTATGATTATGAACTATCTTTTGTTTTTCGGTTTCGTTTAAAGTCAAACTGAAACAAAAGAGTTTTCATGAATTGTACCTACTAACGAATACGTTGTTTTCCATTTTTTACTCTAATTTGAACACATTGTTGGTAATATCTCTGTGATTGATAAACCTTGCCTCATTTCCTGGATAACTAACCAGTAATTACCAATATCTCCACAAATGCTGAACAACTAATCTCACATAATTTCTGAATCAGCACTGGGAGACAAATTACCATTAGACTGTGTTGTCCGAGATCACTTGCCTCCCCCCGAAGATGGAACCAGCTGGGTCTAAGCATATAAAGAATTTTCGTATGCTCATACGCTAACCTCAGACATGTGATTGGTCAGAAACGAGCAAAACATATAAAATGACCAATGAAAATCCTGAGATTCGAGACGGATCTCAGAAAAAAGTTTTATACTCTCCAGACTTATCTGATGCTCTCCCTATTGAGCTAAGTTGGTGGACACCTACTGACAACCGACACTCAATAAAAACTACTGACAATATGTATGCTGGCTGGAAAGCAGCTTATTGAGTACTTAACATAATTTAAACTTTCAATATTTGCAACAGGATTCAAGCAGGATATTTACAACTTACCGCCATATTCTAGCAGTAACTCCATGGTTGGATTCCCATCCTCCTCCTGGCTATATCGCTGTATAAGACCATAAAACTTTGTAATGTTGTAGTGATTTAGGGTTGATGGTACAATGATCTCACTAGATCTCAGCATTTTCTTTGACACCTTTATTGTAAAAGAACAAAAAATTTAATTACAAATCCATAATATAGCAAATTAACACTACCTGTAATTATTGCATTGTTTTAAATATTTAAAGCTTGGGAATAAGGATTTGATGTTAAAACTTTTTTGATATTGGAATATATTTGAATATTTGGTTTCTAGTCTAGTCAAAAGTGTATTTCTCTTATTATCTGTCCGAAATTGCTTGTGTTTACTTCAGTGATATTATTTTTGTTTTATTGACTGTAGATTGAAATATATGTATAAAATCCCGTAATCGGAATCCCATACCAAGACCGATATTTGTTGTTTTTATGTTAATTTGTTGTTTTTATGTTAATTTATATTTGGCACCATAATTAACTATATGTCCCGGACATTTTTTTATTTCTCAAAGTCTTATACAATGTCCTATGAAGAATATAGAACTATTTATCATCACAAGTTAATTCATGCATCTGCAAAAAACTATTTTGCTACTCTTAAAGCTTTTATATCTTAACAATATGCAGAATAAAATGTGAGAAAAAAGTCTCATCATTCAGTGATCCTTCTTATAGCAACTAAATATACCTGTTTTCTGACAAAAGGTTGTTGTGTTTTCGAATCGTAACATAAATCAACTACACCATACGAGCCACGGCCGAGACATTGTCCATGCACAAAATGCACCTCATCTTCATAGCAGTCAAACTCTGGGGCACATGTCTGGAAAAATAAATATACAAATATCAAAATAAATACTTACACATCTTAAACCTCTCAAAACATCTCACCAAAATATCAAAGTAGACCTTACAACTCTCCAAGAGGTAGATAATAGGATGTTTAAAAGACTCCAGGACACTCTAATTAAAGCTGAATCAGAAGCTGGACCTAATAAGAACCTATCACTTTAGTTAGACTGGAGTCCTTGAGAGTTGACTCTCTGGCCCAAGTTATATCCGAGTCAATCTATTAGGTTGGACTATCACTAACATTGAAACAGTCTACGAATTAAACAGTAGTTGTTTTTGGGTCAACATGTAAAATAGTTCAGATCCCTAGCTTAACTGATCTGTGAATAAATAACAGCCAATCATAGTATTTTCTGAAAATTTCTGAAGACTGATTTTCAAATGACACAAATCAGTTATCCTCAGAAATAATTATTAATCTTTAATTTACCTTCCAGTTTAGAAGTTAAAATATTTTTCCGATTGTAAAAACCTATTTGTGCTACTAGGCATTACCAACCACTAGCCCAATGACTACTATGTGTTTTACTGCACAAACGACTGGCTATTAAATAGTAGACCCATTGACATTCTAAAAGCTAAATTTGAAGATTTCTTGTGTACTGCAATTATTTTAGGACACTTTCTCTAAACCTTGTTTGCGTCAGAAAATATCTTGATACTTGAAAAATTATCTTTATCAGTTACAAAATATATTTCTTTTTGAGAAGCCAATTATAGTTAAATGATTAACAATTTTTAAAAGCCACAAATAAGATAATAATACGACATCTACCCCATTTACTATACAGCCTGTGTTTTTTTCAACAAGTTTTGGTAAATCATTGACCATATCATTCAGAGCATCTGATGTTGTGTACTTCACGGTCCTGAAAACAAATGTTGGAATAGTTACGAGTTACCAATTTTTATGTATATCAGGAGATCTGATTTGTTATAGATGTAAAACTGATTTAAATTTTTATATAAAAACAACAACTGTGGGAAAGACAGCATGCTCCACTTTTCTCAGTCAGTGCTTGACAAAAGAAGAGCCTGGATTATGTAGAACATTTTAAGTTTAAAAACAGCCATAATTCTGTTAAAATCCTGGACAGAGTTGTGGGCATTAGATAGTGACCTCCTATTATGTTCTCAAATTAAGTGCATGAAGTTTTAACCCATTCTCTTAAGTATTATGGAGATACCAATTTACATGTATGCAAAAAGTTAATCAAGATTTTTTAAGTCGAAATTGGGGCATAATTATGCAACACGAGAGCCATGATGGCCCTGAAATCACTCATCTGTATAAAGGCCCCTGGACCAAGGCCAATTTTAAACGATGGGCTTTTATTTGAACAAACTAAGTTGACACCCATTAGACGATGTTTCATGCTAAATATCTTAGCTATAGCTCTTTGGGGTTTTTAAAAGAAGATTTTTAAGTTTTTTATTATATACATAAATGAAAATCAATGACCCCCTGGGGCTGGGCCAATTTTTACCCCAGGGCTTTTATTTTAACAAACTTGGTAGACACCTACAAGAAGATGTTTCATGCTTTATATCTAAACTCTAGTTATTTGGGTTCTTTAAAAGAAGATTTTTTAATTTTTTATTATATACAAATAAGGAAAATCTATGACCCCCGGGGCAGGGCCAATTTTGAATTCAGGGCATTTATTTGAACAAACATAGTAGATACTGACTAGATGATGTTTCATGCCAAATATTTAAGCGCCAGCTCTTTCGGTTTTCTAAAAGAAGATATTTTAATTTTTTTTCTGTCGGTTGCCATGGCAACCAGAGTTCTGCTGGAATTGAATTCTTTGAACAATTTTTAAAGTTGACTACCAAAGGAACATTCCTGTGAAGTTTGGATGATATTGGCTTAGCGGTTTATGAGTATATGTTGTGTACGGACGGACGGAGGACGGACGGACGCCGGATGAAAAGCGATCACAAATGCTCGCAATGTCACATTATGACAGGTGAGCTAAAAAAACAAATCAGTGTTATGGGACTGGTGCCAATCATTTTAGATAATCACAAAAGAACAATCTTGTAATTTTAGGTAAATAATAAAATGTAATTACCCTGGTGTGTATTTGGTGGCTGGGACATCTGACTTAAGATTTTCCTCACAGTCAAATGCTTTGCTAGTGTCCTTTCTCAAATCCACACCAAATTCATTTGCATTCCCATCTTCAGTCGGAGGCAATGGAGGGCCTTCTAAGAATGTCTTCATTGGCTGATCAGTTGTCACTACTCGTATTTTCTTCCATGCCTTTTCCTCATGCGCTAGTGTAGGATTCGGCAGTTGATAAAAGTTTGGCAAGGTCGGATGCGGTGTGAATCCTTTTGAAACTGGCTCATTTGGTGTGAATCCTTTTGAAACAGGCTCAGCTTGGAAAGCCTGCTGTAGAGTCTGTTTTATCTTGAGTTCATTTAGAGTAACAAGCACTGGCTTTCGAGTTGACTGGGCGGTTCGGGACTGAACACCACTCGGCTGGACAACGCTGTGAATATACCCTCTATTCTTTTTCAAGTCGATAATTTCAGTCTGGTCCGCCATTTTGTTTTCCTGTGGAGATGGCGGCACGTAGTTTACTGAAAGTAAAACAAATAATACTAAATTATAATAGTATAACATTGTTACAGTGCTCCAGATAAGATTTTGGGTCGATAAGTTTTCACTGCAAGTTTTTTTCAGCCAATTAGTTTTTCACTTATGTAATTTGATAACAATTAATGTTTTTTTTGTTGTTTTTTTCTATTGCAAGTCTTATAACAGAAAAAACCTTAAAGCTGGATGCCTCCAGACGAGCGAAAATAGTTCAATAAACTCAAACTTGAGAAAAATGTACTAAGATTTTAGGAAAAGTAAAACTATTCAAGATTCAAGTAATAATTTACATGTTAAGTGCGATTATTGACTTGATTTTTTAGTATTTATAACTATATTTCTTCTGCGTTACTAACGCAGTAAGGGCTATTTTTGCATATTTTGTCCTCTTTTTAGTAATTTACGTGGGTTGTAAAGTGCCATTGATAATGTTTAAATTGCTTCTTTTTGGTTATTTCACTAAATAATTCTCTAAAACACATTTTCAAAATTTTCATAAAAAAACATGAATCTGGAGGCGTGCTTTGCAGCACGCCACCAGATTCATGTTAATTTTTCATGAAAATTTAGGAAATGTATTTAAAAGTAAAATATTGTGAGGTGAACAAATAAAATAATTTACATATTGCAATCGGCACTTACAATCCAAGCAAATTTTCCAAAAGGTCATCAACATAATTATATGCAAAAACAGTCCTTACTGCGTTAGTAAATTAGTCTTAAACCGCACATAACATGAAATATAAGTTATAATGAGGTTTTTAAAAGTGATTGTATGACATTGAGAAATCAAGTGAATCGAATTAAAAACTTGTATTTCGTTCGTCGAAGTAAATAATGATCACAGTTCACACAGTAAAAAAAATGCAAGACAGATAGTTAATAAATACTTAGGCTGCTTTCCGATGTAGTTTCTCGTACATTTAGAACACAGAACCATGACATATAAATAATAACTTTTGAAGGGGTCTATTAAACAATGTTACATCTTCATCTAGGCTCTAGGAAGAAGTGGATTTAATGCACACACTTACTGCTAATAGGACGGTGCCAATTTTGGCACTGGTGTTGTCAATATCAAAGTATTTTAGTTAATTTAATAAAATAGAACAATCAGGAGATAGCTTTCCGTGTAGGACATTTGTGATTTGTAGAGATTCCTCAAATGCCACTCGGTCTCCAGCAACATTACAACGACCTGTGGGGCCTCGCATCTGAGAAAGAATGAGATACCTTATTTTTCTCTTTAATTTTGAACATACATGTATATGTATAATGCCTAGAAAGAATCTTGTCCTTTGAAAGTATTAGTTTATTGAGTTTTCCAGAGAACTTCTTTAAATACCGAGTATTGAAATGAATGCTATAATGTATTTATAATTGACAGCTCAACAAAATCAGACTATATCCAATTATAAAGTGTAATTTAAAAACAAACATCATTTATTTCCCATTATCATCGTTATCTCACATCATACTAACAGACAGTTAATAATGATTATGTGATAATGTCCAATGATAACATAAAATTATCTTTATATTGCGCAAAAATAAATGTTTCAACGTTGAGTATTATACATTTGAAAATTGCAAATTTTAGAATTTGACAATCGTGTTTTTTTTCTGACAATAAAACTGTTTCGCGTTAAAGCTGCATGCCTCCAGATTCATGCAAATTTTCATTCAGATTTTGAAAATTAAAAAGTATAATGTTGTGAAGTGAACAAAAAATAACAAACTGCACTTGTAATTTACCAGAAAAAATGGCACAATTGCGTTAGTCACGAGGTAGAAATATGGTCATAAATACTGCAAGTTCAGTCATTAATCGTACGCAACATGTAAATTAATACTTCTTCGATCTTTTCTTAAAATCTGAGAACATGTACATTTTTCTCATGTTTGATTTTCTCGAAATATTTAAGCTCATCTGTAGGCCTGCAGCTTTGAAAAATGGGCATTGATACACATGATACATATTTTTAAAATAATTTCTACGTGTCTTTCTTAACTTGATTAAAAATAATCATGGTGGACATGTAGAGCTAATTATAAAAAATCGTATCGATATGTATTTAGTTATTATTGTAAAAAATGAATAAAAATATACTGTTCATTTAATCAGAAGTAGATTTTTTGAGGGGGTCGTCTTGTTAAAGCATTAAGATCGTTGATTTCAAACCACTTGACGCTCACTTCAGGTACTGTTCGAATTCATGCAACCATATTGAGGTACTTTGAATACTTTTGTGATGGTTTAAGATTTTTTCTTAGTTCTTTGTAAATGGGCTAGTCCAACTAAAGGCCTCAACAGACGGTAGGATTTAGTTGTACAGCACTAATTAGAGATAAGATGTACAATTTTCAAAGCTATACAACACTTGCATTCAGACGGTAATTCTACACTGTAAGAATCATCTGAGGTTTCCCCTAAAAAGGATCCCTTTACATTGATCGTTTACATACTTTACTCACTTAATACTTTTTTTCGCCATGAGTAATGATTGAAACACCTTCATTCAAAAAATATATATATTTTTTTAATGTGAAGCCTGGCCGAGACTCAAACCTGGGACCCTCGGAATACCGTACTGCGGCTCTGCTGACTAAGCTATCTGGTCGCCTACAAACTACCTCCCCTCCCCTAATTAGAGAACACTTCAATACCGTGGCATAACCATTTCCGGAATAATTTGGGATTCGAACATAACACAACTTTGGGTCTCCTGAAGAGTTTTTCAACATCATTTTTACCCCATCTTACTACTATGTTTACCTTTTAGCCCTAATTGTTCTGGAATTTCATTCATTACACCCATTATCAGGAGATAATTTGGTTATCTGTTACTTGTCATTGTTGGAGGTCTATAAAAATCGGTACGACAAGATTTTCAAAATAGAACATGTCCTATCTCTTAAATCTAGACATAAGGTTTCCGAAATCAAGAAATAGTAGCCTTCACACATCAAGATTTGTCTGTACATCTTAGTTTTAATTGGTGTTGTACTTCAAAATCCTACCGTCTGTTGAGGCCTTAATTGTACTGCGCGACGAGATATTATGCTATATCTCACCTCTACGTAAATACGAGATTCTGTCCCAAAACGAAAATATCTCAGAATGTCAATATATTTTGACTATAAATGGGCGTGTTATCTAGATCTGGTAAGTAAAAACCTATTTAAAGATATATCAGTACCTTAATTATTAATATGTAAGCATCAAAAGCATGATAGATAAAAACTTGGTATCCATTTTAAACCAAAATTGAAAAAAGGAAAGAAAGAAAAGAAAACAAAACTTACGTTTCTTTTTAAAAATCCCCGATTACTTCCCAACTCTTAAAATAGTAACACTTGGGTTTTCACGCTATACTATCTTTAAACAAAATACATCTCATCGATTATCAAGTTTGTTTACCCTCGCCACCAGAAAAGAGGCCATATGAGCAAGCATATACTTCATTAAATTTTATAACTTAATAATAGGAGATCTAATGTCTTTGTTTATCTTATTGTTATATCGGTACATGTGCTGTGTGCATTAACAAGGTCGTCTCAATGTGCGATCAATGTTAAGGGAACCCATACTAAGATTTATATGTTATAAAAATTTCTAGACGTTTATAACATTTTCATTAAAAGATTCAATATTTACATGTAAAAGAATAGAATTCGCATACTTACGATAAAGATAAAGTCAGAAACGTATTTTGAACGTGGTTACCAATACTTGTTTGCTTAGGTTACATAGCAGATTACTTTGCATGATAGGCTATTAAAGTGGCCACTGAGAACGTTTGAGAGTTATCTGAGCTTATTTCAAGTGCAGATAGTTCACAAGCAGGGTTCGTACAGACATTCAAAGCCAATATTCATGCACTTTTTAAGCACACTTTCCCTTTTTTTTCAAGCAAATGTTTTTGCGCATATATTATAACATATATTGTATAATTATTATGTGAGGTTTTAATATATACATGTATGTATGTATTCATGTATAGTGCAGCTAAATTATTCTAATATGACCAGAAAATTAAATCATTGTCACTGTTATTAAATTGGATTTTTGTTTTTTTTGGGGGATTTCTTTTGTAAACTGTCGATTTTTTCCAACATTATGCATGTGATTAAATCATTTTCAAAAACATTTGCAGCGAGTTTAAGCACTTTTTAAGAAAGTAATCAAATTCAATGACTTTTAAGCACTTTTTTCATTGTTAAGCACTTTTTTCATTATTAAGCACATTTTAAAACCACTAGCCTCCAAAGGGACTCAATATTCGTGCACTTTTTAAGACTGTACACTCTAGCGGTCACATTTTTATCTAGGTAATTGACCCGTAATTATTTCTGTATTTCATGTAGCGGACATCTTTTTCCGAGTGATTGTGCGAAATTTCAAATATCGGTAATGAGTATAGCTTTTCTTTTTTCTTCTTTTGCAATACATATAGCCTGTAGCTGTAGAAAAGTGTCCATTCAATATGAGCAATTGCATTCATAACAAAATGTTTAATACAGTTCTTAAAGCTGATCACAACCAAAGTTCAATTTTGATACATTAAATATAACTTTTATATTACTAAGACCAAATATATGGCTTTCATTTAGATGATGGATTTTACAACTTTTTGTTATTAGCCAAAATCTGTAACTACAGTAATGTTATACATTCATTAATTTATAAATTTATAAACAGAAATATGTTTTAAACAATTAGGGAATTTAATGTTTAATGAATTTATGTTTTTCATGGAACTTCAAAGTTGTGGTAAAAATAAAATTGATCATAAAATTCAGTGTGTAGTTAAATTAATTACATCTGAAAAAAATTATGGAAATCTAATCAATTACTTTACAAATTTGTCTTAAGTAACTGGTAATCAAATTAAGATTTTGCAGTGCAATGTGTAATATAATTAAATACAACCCAAGGTCTTCCAGCAATATCACAAGAGATGGTGTTTGGAGACCCTTTTTATGCTCCCCGAAAAATTTCGGGGGAGCATTTAGTCGGCGCCTTGTCCGTCTGTCCGTCCGTCCGTCCGTTGTCTTGTAATGTCTTTTTTAAACTTCAAACAGTGGTAGAGGGAATTGAGGGGGTGTGCAGTGTCAAAGAACGATAACTCTATTTTGCTCAGTTTTTGAATTATCTCCCCTTATAGAAAAATCTTGTCCGGGGCATAACTCTAAAACTATAAGAGATATCAACATGAAACTTTGTAGGTGAATAGATCTCAATGGGTAGATGTGCAATGCATAAGAACAATAACTCTTTTTGTCCTAATTTTGGAGTTATTGCCCTTTGTTAATTTCAACACTTTAAACTTTGTCCGGAACATAACTCTAAAACTATAAGAGATATCAAGATGAAACATTGTAGGTAGATAGATCTCATTGAGTAGAAGTGCAGTGCAAAAGAACCATAACTCTGTTAAGCCTCATTTTTTAATTATCCCCCCTTATAGAAAAATCTTGCCCGGGGCATAACTCTAAAACTATAAGAGATATCAACATGAAACTTTGTAGGTAAATAGATCTCAATGGGTAGATGTGCAGTGCATAAGAACAATAACTCTTTTTGTCCTCATTTTGGAGTTATTGCCCTTTGTTTATTTTAACACTTTGAACTTTATCCGGAACATAACTCTAAAACTATAAGAGATATCAAGATGAAACATTGTAGGTAGATAGATCTCATGGAGTAGAAGTGCAGTGCAAAAAACCATAACTCTGTTAAGCCTCATTTTTTAATTATCTCCCCTTTTAGAAAAATCTTGTACTGGACATAGCTGTAAAACTATAAGAGATATCAACATTAAACTTTGTAGGTAGATATATCCCAATGGGTAGATGTGCAGTGCACAAGAATCATAACTCTGCGTTGCCTAATTTTGGAGTTATTGCCCTTTGTTTATTTTTACTTTTTGAAGTTGTCCTGAACATAACTCGGAAACCATAAGAGATATCAACAAGATACTTTGTAAGTTGATAGATCACAGTGATTAGAAGTGCAGTGCAAAGAACAGTAACTCTGCCTTGCCTAATTTTGGAATTATTGCACTTTGAACTTTTTCCAGGGCCATAACTCTGAAACTACAACAGGTGTACTTTCCTGTGTCCAAAATCTATTCGGGGAGCATCACCCGGCTCAAACCGGGCACTTGTTTAAATATTTACTTCAACTACAATGTATATACCATAGAAAGAAAACTGAAACTTTTTTTTTCATTTGTTCTCTCATTTATTCGAAAGCTTATATTTACAATTCACATAGTTTTAAACTACATAGAGATTTGTTATTTTCATATATAAATAATACTGTTTACTTAAACGCTTCAGCTGTAAAGCAGTCTAAAATATAACTTTTAACAATTGTATATATTTCTTTATCTATGATCATAAAGACATGAAACTGAAACTTCAACAACAGATTGGTCCCAAATTAAATAACCACAATTCATTATATTTTTACCTCACAAAATGTGTCAAAAAATCATAAACACAGTCAAACGTTTAAATGCAAACTCAAAATTTTCATTTCGTCACTTAAGACTTTATTTTTATGTTTCGAATTATCCCTAAAGGCTTCATTTCTTACCTTTTAATTTTGTCACTAATTACTTTATTTTTGTCTATAGAATGTATGATGATATTTACAAAATATACGCCCCTTTTAAATGATAATAAAGCAAATTTATTTGTTTTTAGACCATCTGTCAAAAAGTAGGTTTTCTATTTCCTGTAGATTCCCTCAGTCTACTTCTTTCCATTTCCCAAAAAAACAGTTTTTTCTGTGTCTCAACATCCATAAGACCATTTTTACCCCCCTCCCCCCAACACACTACTTAATTTTCCATTCCCAAAGAAAACATTTTTCCTTTTCCCAAAAAATGGTTTACTTTCAAAAGTTTGACTATATGAAGTAACACTGTAACACTAGGTAAAACAATGTGTTATATGTAAGCATGTTAGTTCCATACAAGCACTCATACAAATACAAAAAATATTTTTGCATCTTCCAGCAACTGAGTAATATGAAATATAAATGCTACAAATCTAGTTCCAATTTTGCATTTTTTTTTTCAATTTTAAATTTTCTGCAAACATATACATAGAGCAAATAATATTCAAGCATTCTTGTTTTCTTATATTTTATATGTCTATTTTTCTTTTTTTTCTCTATTTTTCCTATACATAACACAAATAAGCAGCCGATGGGTGGTGTTGTTTTTTTCACATTTATTTTAATATATTTGTGCACAAATGTTGTTGTGCAATATATTCCAAAAAAATTTTTTACTAAGCAAAATAGAGTCTATTCTAATACAAGGAGTAATCTAATCACCCTTTGTTGAAACTCTGGTTGTACTGTTTGGGATTTTTTTTTCTTGTTTCTTTTTTAATATACATTTTTTTTCTTTTTTAAATTTTTTTTATAGTCAGATATAAAATAAGAAAGTTGAAGATGCAATAATATCTTTACTTCCTCATTCATTCATTTTTATAATTTTTTTGTATTTTTTTCTCCAAATCCCTATACACTATGAAGTTAAACATTACAAATCAAAAGTTCATACATTGTGTAGTTAATAAAAACCATTTCCCCCCTCCCTCCAAAAAAACGCATTCTGTTTTAAGTATCATTTTAACATCTCCATGAAATGAAGACAAAAGCGATGTTCATAATGTCTATTGTCGAAATTAATTGTTTTTTTCTTTCTTTTTTTGTTATATTTGTTATATTTTTTAAATTTATATTGTTGTTGTTTTTGGGTTTTTTTATGTGTTTGAGTCAATATATAAGAAATAATAAATTCATAATAACGCTCTACTTAAATGACAAAAAGAAAATAATAACAGATCTAAAGCTAAACAAATCATAAGAAAAAGCCTCCTTCCAAGTCAGGCAAACTTTACCAGTAGACACTTTTTCTAAATCATAACCTTTGTGTCACGAAGATTTCATGTTACTAGGAAACAAAACTGATTTATCGTTTTTTAACTTTTTACTTTTTTTGTTCTCCCCATGAGATTTCATAAATTTCAGGATGACACATAAATTTGTAGTTGTAAAATGGTAATAAAAATGTGAAACATTGACAAATATGGCACAGCTGTTAGAAAACATAACTTTATACATGATCCAAACAACAATACATGACCTTAATTAACAAGAAATGCTTCAATGAAAATAGAGAGTGTCATGAACGAAAATATTTGTCTGAAAAAATAAAGAGAACAAAAAATAAATGTTTATCAGTAGGTTTCCTTTTTTCTTCATTTTTTTTATAATTTAAGTTTTATTTCCTTCAATATCATATTACGTGTTGATGCTAAAAACTGAAATGATGACAAACACCTTGTCAGTGTCCACTTCTTGTACCTCTGTCCTCGTACTAAAGAATTCAAATTTAAAAATGAAGCATACAGGTGTAACAGTTAGATGAAACAGACGAAAAAAACTCAAATCTGTTAAAAGAAAAATATGAGAAAAAGTAAAGAAAAATTTATAGATTTACGCAAATTATGAATGAATACACATATGATTGTACATGCAATAAAACTTTTAATATTACATAAAGAATTTTTACTGTTTATATATTATTGTTCACTTAATTTTTTGTACTTTTTGATAAATTCTTTTATAACATTTCACATTTAAGTCTCATAGCATTTTTTTTGGTCAGTTCATATTCATTTTTATCCTTTTTTTTTCAATTAAAATTTTCTTAAAGGGCTCAAACCTTTTGATTATGTGTATTGTAAAAAAAATAATAATAAAAAAAAATAAATGTTTTTTTTTTCAACATTTTCAAAATATTATTCTTTTTATGAATTTTTTTCTTTAAAATCTGTTTTCACTCCCCCCAAAACACGTTACTTAGGCAAGATATATAAATAGGAATCATAGTATGACAAAATACAGACTTTTTTCTTTGCTTTTCAGATTAAGCTCCCTTTTGATATCATATTTTTTTAAACAATTTGTACATGTATATAAGTACTTTTTCTTTGTAATATAAAACAACAAAACAAAACTTTTCTTTAACATTTTTTTGTATGAAATTCATTTTTTTCATTTTAGTAATTTCAGCAGTTTTTTTAAGATAAGAATTTTTGCTAATAGTCCTATTTATATTTTTAAAAAAGAAAAGAAAACATTAATTTTCATACAAAAAACAGAAGCAAATCAAAGTAAAATAAAACACAAAAAATCAAAAGCATAGAAATACATAAAACAAAAAATGTCATTCTACAAAGTGTCAAACTATTTCTTATCTTGAAATACACTAATATAGTCACTGTGGCTGAACTAAACTCGGATCAGTCCACTTTACGAGAACATCGAAAATTTTGGGAGTGCAGGCCCATTACTCTCCTCCTCCTCCATTTGCATTGGACTATTCCCAAAAGTTTTCACACCAGCCAGCATTTGGCCGCTTTCATCTGTCAAGCTGTCCAGGTTTATAACCTCTGGCTGAACGTTTGGCTCTGTTTTCACCACCCTTCTTTGTTGAAACTCTGGCTGTACTGTTGATTGTGCTCTCATTGCCTGCTGATCCTTGACAAATTTCTCCATCATTTTCTTCACCAATAATTTCTGTATCAGTTCCTACAAATATAGAGAAAAAATCCATCTTAGCTGCAGAATTTATTCCCTGAATAACATTTCAATTTTAAGGGGAGCGGTGGCCTAGTGGTTAAGGTGTCTGCTTTAAACCAGGAGGTCATTGGTTCGAGCCCTACTCGGGTATCGACCATGTTTCTTCATATGACACCAGTACTGGTTGGTTCCAGGAAGCACAATCGAAAGTGGTTAATATAAGTTGCAAGAACTTGTTTCGCAATCTAGCTTAAACAAGATATGTTTGTAAAACATGTATGCCCCCTATCAGCAGCCAATAAGTCATGTGAAAAGGTTATTATGCATGTCTTCTGACCCAGTGATCAAACAATTAATAAGGGTTATCAAGTATCTACTGGTCATGACCTTTACCTTTGACCCATTGACCCAAAACTCAATAGGGGTCATCTGCTGGTCACGACCAATCATCATACAAAGTTTGAAGTTCCTAGGCCTAAGCGTTTTTAGTTAATTGATCGGCAAACCGTTTTAACATACAAGGTCAATGTGACCTTGAACCTTTGACCCCTTTGACCCCAAATCAATAGGTCATTTTTGCTGGTCATGCCCATCACCAATACCATGTTTGAAGTTCCTAGGCCAAAGGGTTCTTAAGTATTGATTGAAAGGCATTTTACTACAAGGTCAATGTGACCTTGCCCTTTGACCCCTTAACCCAATATCAATTAGGGGTCAATTCTACTGGTTCCATGACCAATCACCCATACCAAGTTGAAGTTCCTAGGCCTTAGGGTTTTAGTTATTGATCTGGGAAACCATTTTTACCTGGTTAAGAGGTCAATGTGACCTTGACCTTTTGACCCCCTTACCCTAAAATCAATAGGGGTCATCTACTGTCATGACCAATCACCATATCAAGTTTGAAAAGTCCCTAGGCCTAAGGGTATTTTGTATTTGATCGGGGGGAAAACCGTTTTTACCTACAAAGTCAAATGTGAAAACCTTGACCCTTTGATCCTTAACCCCAAAAATCAATTAGGGGTCATCTGCTGGTCATGACCAATCACCATACCAAGTTTGAAGTTTCCTTGGCCTAAGGGGTTCTTTCGTTATTGATCGGAAAAATTCGTTTTTTACCTACAAGCGTCAATTGTACCTTAACCTTTGACCCCTTCCCAACCCCAAAAATCAATAGGGGTCATCTGGCTGGTCATGACCAATCACCATACCAAGTTTGAAGGTTTTCCTAGGCCTAAGGGTTCTTTTGTTAATGATATCAGAAAAACCGTTTTTACCAAGAGGTCAATGTGACCTTGACCTTTGACCCCTTGACCCCAAAAATCAATAGGGGTTATCTCTGGATCATGACCAAATCACCCTACTAAGTTTTGGAAGTTCCTAGGCCCCTTAAAGTTCTTTATGCTATTTGATCAGAAACCGTTTTTTGTTACAAAAGGTCAATGTGACCTTGACCTTTACCCCTTGACCCCAAAATCAATAGGGATCATCTACTGATCATGACCAATCACCATACCAAGTTTGAAGTTCCTGGGCCTTAAGGTTCTTTAGTTATTGAATTTTGGAAACCGTTTTTGCTTACAAGGTCAATGTGACCTGACCTTTGACCCCTTGACCCCAAAATCAATAGGGATCATCTACTGATCATGACCAATCACCATACCAAGTTTGAAGTTCCTAGGCCCTTAAAGGTTCTTTAGTTATTGATCGGAAAAACCGTTTTTGCTACAAGGTCAATGTGACCTTTTGACCTTTGACCCTTTGACCCCAAAATCAATAGGGGGTCATCTACTTTTGGGCATGACCAATCAAAACCCTAAACCCAAATTTGAATTCTAGGCCTTTTTAAGGGTTTTTTGTTTAAAAAAGATCGGAAAACCTTTTTTTCTTACTTTAAATCAAAGGGGAAACCCCCCTTTACCTGACCCCTTTCCCCAAATTCAATAGGTCATCAACCTGGTTCATGAAAATCCCCTTCCCCAAGTTTTTGGGAATTTCCTAGGGCCTGAGGGTTCCCTTATTAGTTTTCCACCGGGAAACCCCCCCCCCTTGGTCCCCCCCGGGCCCGACGGGACCAAAAGGACCGACAAGTGCAAAGCAATATACCCCCTTTTCTTCGAAATGGGGGCATAATAAATGCTTTAAACCAAATTTAATTTTTATGAATGATCACGAAGATTTCTTTAATAGGGTATGCATGTACTGATCCATAATACTTGTTCTTCAATAAAATATAAATATAAAGTCATACTTACTTGTGGTATATATACTTGCGGCTGCTGTGCTGCAATGGAGTACTGTGCTCCTTTACCACTAAGAGAGACAATATTGTCATTTTCCATCGGTCTAACCGTAGGCCTGATACAATTAAATCCGACCGGCACTTGTTGGCTAGGTCCAACACCACTGAATGCTGGTACTTGTTGGGCTTGCTGTGGCACTTGGCTCACGCTATCAGTTGCTTCTGAAGGATGAGTTATTGGAGCATTCCTTTCTGTCATCTACAATAGAAACAGTTTACAGTTTATTTTGAGCTTAGCCTAAACGTATCTGACAAATTTACAAGTGATCAAACTCTGTTACAGTCATATGGTCACTTTCCAGGAAAATTCAGTATCAGTATTCAAGCATTATTTCAGGTACTTTTTTTTGTTTGGTTGGATTTTAAGTCGACCAATACTGTAAAGCTTATATGGCAACTTTCCAGCTTTCCTGTTGGAAGAAGACATCAGTTTGCTCTTCTGTTCATTATTTCAAGTGCAAACTGGCATCCAAGTAGAAACACTGACATACCATAAGCTAGCTGGATAGCTTCCAGACTGATAGAGTACAAAGTCCCTGGCGACATTTCAGGCATTCATAGGCAGACAATAAGCATATCAAGCTTCTGTAAACTATCTCACCAACTTAATATACATTTTTCTTTCATGCTAACCCCAACAAGATCATATCATATGAATTTTTAAAGCAGATTTTTCATACATACCGACGAGACTGAGCTTGTATCTTCTTCTACAATTGTCTCCGGCAAACACTGACCAAGACTTAGATCCTGGAACTCCATTATTGGAGTCATTGGCATCTGTTTGCTGGCTATTCCTTCTCTTAGATCATTCATCTCATCCATCGGTGACTGAGGACATGTTGTCTTGCTACTTCCTAACTTGTTGCCCTTCTTGTCAGCCCTGTTGTAAGGGTTCAGCTTCATGCGTAGGGCATCCTTCGTTTTGTTCTTCACTGGGCCATTCTCGCTTTCCATACAATCTTCAGCTATTTCTGCAAAGTGCAAAATTGAAATGAAAATTATTTTATTGCAATCTGTCTACGATATCAAAAGAAGAATCTTTAAACCTTTTTTTTTCATGTTATACAAATTTGGTAAAAAATTTACAATATTCTTTTCTGTATTTTATTCACTTCCCTTTTTACTACTAGTACTAGTACACTTTATAAATGCCCCATGATCGGTTGGGTTTTAAAGTCACATTTGCTATGTAAAGGTCATACGAAGGAAAAATGTAGGTATCTCTTCCTGCCTATTTACAGTATAAAGGGAAGTCGAACCAACAACATTCTCTACACTAGCTTGATAACTTCTTCACATGAAAGAATCCTAGGTTCTTGATGGGATTTGAACCCACAGCTGTGAGAAACAATTGATTACAAGCTGAGAGACTCTTAACATATTCAGGGTTTTCATTATTAACCAAGTGGCGATCCAAACCATCAGTTAAAATGCTGTTAAAAACCGTTGTGTTTTCTGCCTGTATGTTAAAGTATCACCATTGGCCCTTGGCAAAATCGGTTATTTTCTTTTGTGCATCTGTTGCCTCAGATAAAAATGAAACCCCTGGTATTATCTATATGCACAAATTCTGTAAATCTAACTATTTTTCTGCAACAGTGCAGTACTACAAATATCTTACAGGCATACTTAGTTGTTGGCTATATCACCCCAACTGCCACATATAACCCATTTATAATCCTGTCAACTCATATAACCTTCAATGTAAAATAAAATACTACAATTCTGACAGTGATATACTGTACCTGGTATTTCCATATCCATGTTGCAGTATAAAATGTTTGGCACCTGACCTTGAAGAGGATTGTACACTTCTCTTTCTCTCTGCTCTGGTCTTGTTGTCATCTTATTTCTCCTTTCCTTATCTATTACAGAAACAAATTTATCATAAATGATTACCAACATAATATCAAATAATCGATGACCAACATAATGTTAATAATATTATTTTCTCTCTTTTCCCCCAAAAATATATTATTTGAACATCCACAGCTACAAAACTTTTCATGTTACTTAACTTTCTATCATATCTACCCCTAATTAGGTATTATATACCCACTTCAAGCATTGTTTTTGTGACATATTATAACTAGCTTGCTTTATCTAGTCCCCTTCACCATGCTCACATTTATCAAACGTTCTTCTTTTACCTTCAATGTAGTCAAGAGCCTGTCTTGCACTGTAACGATCCTGATGTTGGTGTCGTGTAAGCTTCAACAGTAGATCTCTCATGTCAATGTCACACTCGTCGGGAATCAGGTTGTGCACAAATTCTGTGCGATTGTCAGCCATCTGCAAAAATAATTGAATTCATACAAAAAAATAAATGGACTATATATTTGGGTGAGAAATACAATTACATTGTAATAATAGGTTGAAAACATCTTTTGTAAACTTCCTCTCCCATGGATGGGAAATAAATATAGGCACTTCTCACAAGGGAGACACAGTAAATATCCTTGGGTACTTTAACTATGGGGTGGGTCATAAAAGCAAATGCATCTTAAAACAAGGTATATATATATGCAATCACTTTATATACCCGACTTAACTTGGTAAGCTAATTTGGTATAAAACTTGAAACAGAAAGACAGAATTACTTTCATATCTTATATCTATATTGATATCTTGACAAAGTTTGTCTGAAACAAAGGACATTATAGCAAATCCTCCTGAACTGTAGATACAATAAAAAATCTCACCAGTGCCATTAAGTTCATGTGCATCAGTTTTCTTGTATTTTGATCTACTCCATCGTAGCTTGTATTCCCGTTATTAATGACCTTGACAAGAATATGGTACCCTTTATACAGGTACATGATCACAAGTCCGAAGGCAAATGTGTCTACTTTTCCAGTTATATCCTCTTCTGTAAGGCCAAAATCTAGTGCCGATCTGATAAAATAATGATCAAGACAATTGGATTAAAGTGTTAAAGAAAAAGACCTGAAACCCATTATGTGTGTCACAAATCAAAATTTAAAATTTCAGCCATGACAGTTTAAATTCAAAATGATTTTTTTATATTCCTATACAGAAAAACAAACATTCCAACCATATCCTTCTCCCAAACAATTCAATTTATTAATTTTTTTTTTTAATAATTCATTTTTCAAATTTTGGGTAGGGGGTTGGGAGTGTGTTTAAGTTGCACTGACACACAATCATTTATGCCTTACCAGAGGTGAAAAACCTCAGTTCCCCTCTGTGCATTGCTTCAGTGAAGCAGATCCCCAAGTAGAACCACCAAGCTTCAAGAAACTAGCTAGATAGCTTCCTCACATGAAAATATCCACAGTCCCTGGAAAGTTTCAAACACTGTCTAATCGGCAAATAATTAATTTAAGTAAACAACCTTTGCCACTCAGCCATTTTTTTCTTAATATTTTTTAACTTAAAATAATAAATTGTGACCTGGCTATCACTAAATTTGTGCCATATAAAATTAACATCAATACTTTTGAAAACTGGAGCTAAAATTTAAACATTTATGCCCTTACTGTTGTGACTGCAGGAACATCTTGCAAAGTTCAGGAGCCATATACTCTGGTGTCAAACCCACAAATTTCAACGGCTCTTGTGGTAGCCTTGATGAGCCAAAGTCCGTCAGTTTTACTACAACAGATGTATCTGGCCTGACGTCAATACAAATATTCTCCGCTGTTAAAAATAAAATAAAATTTCTAAAACATTAATCTCATCATGAAGTGGCAAAAATAACCAAACTCAATAAACAAATCTAGCACTAATGATTGCTAGCTGCATGGGTTCAAAGCCCGTTAGAGGCAAGTTGTTGTTTCCTTAAGCAAGAAACTTTACACTCAATGCTCAGTACTGGTTGGGTCAGGGAAGGGATTTGAAAGTGTGGCAATAAGCTTATAGCTGTCTACACAATCAAACTAAAATAATTGTGTATAAACCAAGTCTAGGACAGTATTATAAATCGAGCCTGAACCATTTATATTTGTTTGTTTGGTTTATTTTACGTCTTTTTCCAACAGTATTTCAGTCATATAGGCGGGTAGTTTCCTATCCATTGTTCCTGGAGAGTTACACCAGTACTAGACTACCTTCCTCCGCGCTAAACTACGAAAGTATCTTCTGGGGATCGAACCCACGCCAGAGAGGTAAGTGGATTAGAAGTCAACGACTCTAACCCCTCGACCACGTAGGCGGTAATCTGAACCATTTTTATTGGATAAGTTAAATGTAATCAACTAATGAGTGACTCTCTCTCTCTTGTGATTGTATAAAGCCAAAATTATGCCTATATCAACCATTTGATGGGAAGTATTATTATACATGTATAAGTATGTAATGTAAAGACATAATAATTAATGATCATAATTTAAAGAAAGGAGGCAAAATAATTTGAAATCAAAAAGAATGAAATGCCAATGGTACTATATAAACCTGAAATGATATGGAACGAAAAGTTTGTCAGTCTGAAATCAACAACATTGAGTCTGACTTATTTTTTCTTTGGGATACCCTAAGAAAGTGCAAGCACTTATTTCCAGTAGGGTCCTTACCACAGCAGACTCTAGAGACGGCTATGAGATACAAGGGAATCCGTGAACCAGTCCCTAGCTCTTATTGAATAGATTTCTTGGCTCTTTTACATGCCCAGTATATAGCACTGATACATGCAAGTATTACCTGGATTTCTTACCAGTCCACCTCTTGTTAGGTGGGAAACACTGAAAGTGTCTCTGAAAAATCCGAAGGGTGTTACCCAGTATCGAACCTGTAACCTCAGGAGTGGCAGTCAGTGGTCTAACCAACTGAGCTATCGTGCCACCTCAACAAAATCTCTTTTAATTATTATATAACTTACGTTTGATGTCAAGGTGAACTATTCTGTAATTACTGATGTGAACTAAGGCGGCAAATCCTTGCTTTGAAACTTCCCACTTCTGTGCATCTGTCAGCTTATTCCCCTGCTGATAATACTTGTTTAGAGCATGTCCTAAAATTTAAATGGTTTTCTTAAATAATTTTCTTCTAGCCTATTAAAAAGTAAGACATGTAGTATCAGATTCATCCACCTGAACTATGATTCAGGCCTGATAGGCCTTATAAATTTCAATCTTGTGCCAATATAAACTATCTTTTGTTTTTCGGTTCAGTTTCAAGTCATGCTGAAACAGAAGAGTTTTCATGCATTGTACCTACTAACAAATTATTTGTTTTTCTGTTTTTTTTTTATGGAACCAGCGCCCTATACCCTGGGCCCAAGGATTCAAAAAAATTTATACTCAGACCTCAGGTGATTTGGTCAGAAACCAGCATAGAATTTATACTGACCAATGAAAATCCTGAGATTCGAGACAGATCTCAGAAAAAAGTTTTATTATCACCAAACTAATCTGATGCTCTCCTTACTGACAACAGACACACAAGAACAACATAAGCTAGCTGGATGGCAGCTGATTGAGTGCTTAACATAAAAGCTTTCAATATTTGCAACAGGAGTCAAGCAACTTACCACCATATTCTAGCAGCAACTCCATGGTTGGATTCCCCTCCTCCTCCTGGCTAGAACGTTGTATAAGACCATAGAACTTTGTAATGTTGTAGTGATTTAGGGTTGATGGTACAATGATCTCACTAGATCTCAGCATTTTCTTCGACACCTATTGTAAAAGAACAAAAATGTAATTTACAAATCCATATTATAGCAAACATACACTTCTACTAATTAGTGCTTTTTTTAAAATATTTAAAACATGGGAGTACGGATTTGATGTAAACATTCTTTTTTTCATATTGAAATAAATTTGAATTTTTGATTTCATAAAATTTGGCATAGTTAAACACGTGTCTTTCTCTTATTATCTGTCCATAATTTGTCATATCAAAAATTTCAATACACTTAGAAGTACAAATAATCAAAATTTAAGTCAAATGTTTACTACAGTGATATCATTTTTGTTTTAATGACACAAAGAGTGTACTCCCCGTAATCAAACCTACCCTCCCCCAAACCCAGACATCTTTTTTTCAAGTCCCGATATATGATGTTTTTAACCTGGCACCATAATTAATCAAATGTCCCAGACTAATGGTGCCCTTGCTGGTCTGGAGTTGATCTCACCAGGGCTGGGAATCAAAACTGCGTCGTATCCTACAAAATGTAAACAAACGCCGCCATCTTGGAACGAAAAATGTATGTTTTTGTTTATAACTTTTTTTGTTGGAAATGACTGAAAACCAGATATATGTATTAACACGCTACACTATTTTCCGCTTCGTTCGGTGTATGTTGCTTAGACAACTATTTTGTAAAACAAAAGTTATAGCGAACTTGCAACTCGAAGCGGAGCAGAATTTTTATGAAATTGTGTGGATACGACGCAGTTCATATTGCTTTATCTATCGTTTCTCCTTCAAATCAATTATATACTCGTTTTCAGAGTTCACCATAAACTTCGAAACATAATTTTGCATCATTTACTAAATTTTCATTAAAAAGAGATATGTATTTTCCAAGAAAATAATGATTTTTACGAAATGATACGACGCAGTTGAAAATAAAATATGATACGACGCAGTTGTATTTTTATTGCAGACTGCATATTGGTTTTAAACTATTTACATTATGTGCTAGGTATGCTAATAACGCCCAACAACATTTCTTGTTTAAAACTTTAGTCAAAAGCAGAGGTCACTCATTGGTTCCGTAAAAATGGAAATGTAATACAATTCTATTAAGGCTGCATTTTTCGGTCGCATTTAAGTACCTATCATATTGAGCTTCTACAAATTCCGAAAAAACTGTATTAAATGCAATATACATTGTGCAATAAACACGTGATCGCACAACCATATGACAACGTGTTCCAGTGTTGCCTTAGCATGCTTCTAAAAAAATTTCCCGTGAGTTCAAAATGGGAGTGATTACTATTGTTGATACAAAAGAGAGAAAGAATTACAAATTTTGAAAATGTCTCTTGCTATCGGAAAAGAGCTATGCGCAAATTGCATGCCTACCTTTGTTACTTGTAATTAGCAATAATTTCCGTCAATTCCATTATTATTTATGTCTTTTACGTGCCGATTTTATTGTATTCATTTTCTTAATAATCGGTGAGAACAGATGAGCTTTATTATTTGAAACTGAACATTAAATTTTTAAAATTATATTTTAAATGGTTAAGCTACAATATATTTTGCAAGTAGGTTATGCGTTCCGTTTAGTCATTTTATGTTCAGCGCCGCGGAACTTTACCTCTGATGTTGTCTTATTGCATTTCTTTATCGCCGATGAGGAAAGGTCTACGGAATGTATTTTCTATATTTGCACTTAAGTATCATTCTTCTCCATTAAAAAACTTTATATTTTCAAAATCGAGTTACATATCATACAACTACAGATTATTTTGTAAAGAAGGTGTCCGTTTTGCAAAGGTATTTTACGCTGTGCACCGATAAATTTGATACAGATATAGGCAGACATGATCTTTCAACAGTATTGAAGAAGTTTTCACAATATTGAACCACAGGAGCTTGAAATTCTATCAATAATTGCCCTAAAGTCAATTCCCCCAAAAAGTCCATACCTATATATAAAAAAAAACACTTTTTTATATATAGGTATGGATTTTTTTGGGGAATTTGACTTTAGGGAAATTATTGAACAGAATGTGATTGAACATAAAATTAAGGTCAGATTATCGCATCGAATTTTCAACAGACTAGAGACATGGCATCTTAACATACCTTCATACTAAAGTGTGATTATTTGATAATGAATTGCCTGAAAACTTAAACAAAGGTTTTCAGAAAATGACTTCACAGAGGATTACCCGATGTTTACATTGAAAATTTCTCTGCTAGTCATATCGAAATAAGAAATTTAAATGTTATTCTCTTTATAATTAATTCAAATATTTATAATCTTATAACTTCATGCCCGAAGTTAATAAAAAAAGCTGCTTATTTGTACAGCTGACGTTAACAAATTTTGTTGAAAAAACAAATCAGACAGGTGTGTCCGACCGTGGCCGAGCTGTTTATGTTTACTGAATTCAAATCACTTGAACTGAACTGCAATGAATTCGAAAACCACCACAGACTTTTTATTCTTTCGTGTGGAAAACCTATCAAGCTAGTTTCAAAATGTGGATGGTTCTCTGCAGGTGCACCATTTTGCCTCAAATAATGCACAAAGGCGCACTTGAGGTCCTCGCCCCTAGTAAAGCTAATGTGTAGAAGTAGAGTGAAAGTTTGAAAACAAACCACAAAAAAGCAGTCATTACCCAGAACATGCAGAACCACAGTTAACTTAGAGCGTAGCTAGCCAGCATGAATTCAAGTTAATAGATTTCTATATTTTTTTGCGAAAAAAAATAGGGATAATATTGAGCATTCAGGAAAATATAAGAAATCATTTCAGATATTATGAACAATTAGGTAACATGTTTAACTGAAAAGTAGCTTCCGCAATGTAAACTTTCAAATTAAATGTAATATTGGACATGACACAATGCATGTATTCTAAATAATCAAAAGCAACAGAACATTGCTATACACCGCAAATGATCTGGGTTTTTTTATCTAGCGCAAGTGATTATTCCATAAAATAGAAATATTTTGTGCCAAAATTATCCCTGTTGAAAAGACTGCCAAAAATGCAACTGCGTCGTATCATATTTTATTTTCAACTGCGTCGTATCATTTCGTAAAAATCATTATTTTCTTGGAAAATAAACATCTCTTTTTAATGAAATTTTAGTAAATGATGCAAAATTATATTTCGAAGTTTATGGTGAACTCTGAAACAAATATATAATTGATTTGAGGGAAAAAACGATAGATAAAGCAATATGAACTGCGTCGTATCCACACATTTTCATAAAAATTCTGCCCCGCTTCGAGATGCAAGTTCGCTATAACTTTTGTTTTACAAAATAGTTGTGCAAGCAACATATACCGAACGAAGCGGAAAATAGTGTAGCGTGTTAATACATATATCTGGTTTTCAGTCATTTCCAACAAAAAAAGTTATAAACAAAAACATACGTTTTTCGTTCCAAGATGGCGGCGTTTGTTTACATTTTGTAGGATACGGCGCAGTTTTGATTCCCAGCCCTGCTCACATCAACTGCATTTTTTCAAACTGTTATTTTTGTGTATTTCTCAGTCTTATACAAAGTCCTATGAAGAATATAGAACTATTTATCATCACATGAAGTTACTTCATGTATCTGGAAAAAACTATTTTTCTGCTCCCAAAGCTTTTAGTTAGTTTTATATCTCAACTGCTTACAGAATAAAATGTGAGAAAAAAAGTCCCATCATTCAGTGGGCCTTCTTATAGCAACTTAATATACCTGTTTCCTGACAAACGGTTGTTGTGTTTTCGAATCGTAACATAAATCAACTACACCATAGGAGCCACGGCCGAGACATTGTCCCTGCACAAAATGTATTCCATCGTCATAGCAGTCAAATTCTGGGGCACATGTCTGGAAATATAAATTTCAAAATAAATACTTAAACATCTTAAACCACCAAAATATCAAAGTAGACCTTATAACTCTCCAAGAGGTAGATAATAAGGGTTTTAAAAGGCTCCAGGACTCTCTAATTAGAGCTGAATCAGAAGCCGAACCTACTAAGAACCTATCACTTAACCTTGAGAGTTGACTCTGACCCAAGTTATATTCAAGTCAATCTATTAGGTTGACCTATTACTTACATTGAAACAGTCTTCCAATTAAACGGTAGTAGTTTTGTGGTCAACATGTAAAATACATGTATGTAAATAAGTCCATAGCCTAACTGGTGTGTGAAAAAATAACAGAGGATAATCTTATTTTTTGAAATTTTAATGACTAATTTTCAAACAGCACAAATCATTTACCCTCTATCTAGGCCAGGGAATTAAATTACAGAAATAATTATTATTAATCTTTACTTTACTTTCCAGTTTAAAAGCTTAGAAGGTTTTCAGGCCCTAATATTTCTGACTGCACAAACTAGACTGGATATTAACTAGTCAATCCACTGACATTCTAAAAGCTAAATTTGAAGATTTCTTGTGTACTGCAATTATTTTAGAACACTTTCTCCGAACCACTTAGTTGAGTTGTAAAATATCTTGATATAAATTGAAAAATTATCCTTATCACTTACAAAATATATTTCTTTTTGAGAGCCAATTATAGTTAAATGACATTAACAATTAAGCTACAAATAAGATAATAATACAACAGCACATACCCCATTTACTATACAGCCAGTGTTTTTTTCATGGAATATTTGTAAATCATTGACCATATCTTTAAGAGCATCTGATGTTGTATACTTCACAGTCCTGAAAACAAAAATGTTTGAATAGTTGGTTGAGTTACCATTTTTTATGCATATCATAAGGAGACCGGAATTGTTTCAGAAGCAAAACTGATTTGAATTTTTTTTTTAAATGAAACAGCTGTGAGTAGGACAGCTCAGTGCTTGATAAGTATGTAGAGCTTTTTAAGTTAAAAAAGGGCCATAATTCTGTTAAAATCCTGAAAAGAGTTATGGAGTTATGGGCCATAGATACAAAAACTGATTTGAATTTTTTTCTTTTTTTAAAAAAATGAAAGAGCTGTGAGTAGAACAGCTCAGTGCTTGATAAAACAAGTAGGGAGAACTTTTGAAGTCAAAAAAGGGCCATAATTCTGTTAAAATCCTGGAAAGAGTTACGGAGTTATGGGCCATAGATAGTGACCTCCTATTATGCTCTCAAATAAGTGTGTGAAGTTTCAACGCAATCCCTTCATTTGTTATGGAGATATCAATTTACATGCAAATACTTAACCACGATTTTTCAGGTTGAAATAGGGGCATAAATATGCAAAAAAGCAAATCAGAGTCAATTTGGACTTGTGCCAATCATTTTAGTTAATCACAAAAGAACAAGCTTGTAAAGTTTTGACCAATTTCCTTCTTTAGTTTTGGAGATACCAAATTACATGCAAAAACTTAAACTTATGTGTGACAGCAACGCTAACACAGACGCCTGGATGAGTACATCAGCTCTGACTATAATAATATTTAAATCAAGCTAAAAACAATATCTAAGAACAGCATATTATATCAATTTTAGGTAAATTATCAAATGTCATTACCCTGGTGTGTATCTGTTAGCCGGAACATCTGACTTAAGGTTTACCCCACACTCAAATGCTTTGCTAGTGTCCTTTCTCAAATCCACACCAAATTCATTGGCATTCCCATCTTCAGCCAGAGGCAATGGAGGGCCTTCTGTGAATGTCTTCGTTGGCTGATCAGTTGTCACTGATCTAATTTTCTTCCATGCCTTTTCCTCATGCGCTAGTGTAGGATCCGGCAGTTGATTAAAGTTTGGCAAGGTCGGATGCTGTGTGAATCCTTTTGAAACAGGCTCAGCTTTGAAAGCCTGCTGGAGAGTCTGTTTTATCTTGAGTTCATTTATAGTAACAGGCACTGGCTTTCGAGTTAACTGGGCGGTTCGGGACTCAACACCACTTGGCTGGACAACGCTGGGGATATTCCCCCTTTTCCTTTTCAAGTCGATAAATTCATTCTGGCCCGCCATTTTGTTTTCCTGCGGAGATGGCGGCACGTAGTTTACTGAAAGTTAGAAAATAATATTAGATTTCAGTAGTATAGCATAAGTGCTGCAGATAAGATTTCGGGTCAATTAGTTTTCACAGCAAGTTTTTTCAGCCAATTAGTTTTTTCACTTATGTAATTTGACAACAGTTCATTTTTTTCTTCTATAGCAAGTCTTATTACAGAAAAAAAAAACCTTATAGTGGACATTGTTAAAAGCAAATCATATATAAATTTGGAATATTATATTAATGAGCTATTCTAATAGGTTGAATTACTTGTGATGATTGTGTTAAGTTGTTTTATCATGACCCCAATGGAGGGCCAAACCAATTTTTACCCGGGGGCATGATTTTAATATCCGCTTTTGTTTAGGATCTGACACAAAGTTCTACATGGAAATATCTATATGCTCTGATCATTTTTACTTGTGATTCTGATAACCTCCATTATTTAAGAAGATATTTAATCATTTTCAGGTCCACTCTTTGTTTCTGTGACCTACTTATCACACTGAAATAACTTCTATACAGGTCTATCATAAGTTTTCTGTAAACTACATTCAATATTCCTTTGTCTTTAGGCCATCCTTAAAAAAATGTTTGTTTGCAGTAACCCGACCCAGTATTTTTAAGGTGGGTAGGTAGGTCGATTTTTTTTTTTTTTTTTTATTGAACTGTTCTCCCATATAAACATGGAATTTCAAAATGCTGGACAATATCATAGGAACTCGAGAACGGGACCGCAGATTGCGGCGCATATTTTCGATCGTGTAACGGTTTTTAAAAACGTTTCTGCTACATCTAAATATCTTTAAGTATTATCCGAGCATATGGTCTCAAACAATATATTATCACTTGAACCCAATCTGTTACTTTTAAAACTGGTCAAATTTTACGGTATTATAAAAAAGACAAGGAGTGACATCCGCCATTTGCCGCAACGTTCGGCATGAGTTTTCCCCCTTTGGCTACACTTGATTACTATTTTTTCAGAATTTTGTTCCCGTTATCGTTGTCAACTATCAGGTATCGTAACGGTTTAATGTTTACACTAGTGTTTGACATGTATAGTCGGCATTATAACGGGCGTATTCGTGTTATGATTTGTTTACATGGAGAAAACAGACACTTTAGTAATATGGTCTAATAGATTTTGCCTAACTGAAAAAAAGAATATTAAAACATGATCCATAGATATATATTCAAGGCACTAATCTGGTATTCCTTATTAGGAAACCCATGTTTTGAGTGACATAAAGAGAGTACTAGAAAAATTAAAACAAAAATCAAGCATATCAAGGGGGGTAACTTACGCCGAACGTTGCGGCAAATGGCGGATGTCACTCCTTTTCTTTTTTCAATATACCGTAAATTTGACTGATTTTTAAATTAGCAGATTATATTAAATTGAGATAAGATAATTAAAGACCATCCGCTCGTATAATATAAAAAGATATTCAAAGGTCGGACAAACAATATGTAAAGCTGGTACGGATTCGGATTTATGCGCCGCAATATGCGGTCCTGTTCCAGAGTTCCTATGGACAATATATGCTTTGATAATCTGGTAACAATTAATAAACTGATAAATGAATTCTAATTTAATAAGAACTACATTTTATTTCTTCTATTAACCTTTAAAAGAACAAAAACAAAGCACAAGGTATAATTTTCTGATTCAAAAAAAAAAATTTTTTTATCCAGATCATGAAAAAAAAAATTGAGTAGGGGCAAATTTTGTGAGTCGGTAGCGTTACTGCAAACAAACATTTTTTTAAGGATGGCCTTATAAATATCAATATTCAAAAGGCATTGACAAATATTCTGAATAAAAATATATTTCTATTTAGTATATGAATGTATGCCATTTTTTTTCTTCTTACTCTAGGTATTTGTTGTTTCTATAAATAGCACATTCATTATTATATAGCTCTATTTATAGCCGACAAGTATATAAATAGCACATTTATTATTTTGTGGCTCTATTTATAGCTTGAGTATAATACATGTACTATACAATTTAAGGATGTACCAACCTTGTCCAGCATTTCTATCTAGCCCTAGCCCTTTTGACAAGGTGAGAGGGAGCTGTTTACCCCATTTATCTCTACTTCGATGCATCTAGTAAATCTGAAATGGGGGAAAAAGATATACATTGTATAATCACATTGATTGAATGTTGTTAATAATGATTATGCCTTGCCTTGATCCAAATATATGCACAACCTATTACAAGGGCCCTTAATTTCAAAACAATATTCCAAACAACTGCCAAAGAAAAACTGTTCCAACTTCTAGAGAAAAATGTTTTCACTTCTTTCTTAGAAAATATGACAACACAATTACTGATAAAATAAGGGTTTCATATAAGACATGAATTTGCTTTTTATAGCATAAAAAATTATGCATCAAAATTCAACTCTAGTTGTATCAATACCCTTTAAATATTGGGTATGTATTAAACTTGATTAAAAGTGTGTTATTGGTCAAACAATTTCCAAACAGTAATAAAGTGGACTGTAAGACATGGCTACCGATTAAAACAAACAATCCTGTAACAAGAGCCAACGCTGGGTGGGGGTAACGCTTGGCTCTTTTAATTTTTTCTAAAAACGAACAAATAAACAGTTTAAACAACGTCTTCAAAAATAAAATTAAAGACAAAAATATGTTTGTCTCTTTTTTAAATTTAGCAGGTCTGTCTAGTCGCTCAAGATGATGTTGTTTTGTCCAAGTATGAATCATTTCCATAAAAAAATATAATCAAAATTCAATCATTTAATGGTCAAGGTCATTTAAAGGTCACGGTCATATCTTAATTATTCCACATGTCTGTTTGGTCAAAGGAGTTTTTTGTCCACATATTAATCAAATCTGTACATAAATAACAGTATTATGACAACTGAACCAAAATTCAATACTTTGATCTTATGGTCATTTAAAGGTCAAACTCAGTTTAACCTATTAAAACTAAAAAGGTCTTGTCCAAAATGTTGTTTTGTCTGAGTATGAAAATAATCCATTGATTTATTACCAAGTTACAGCCATTTGTAACGATTATCAGAGAAAATTAAATAATTTGACAGTCAACATCATACATGAGTCAAGGTCAATTTAGGTTTGATATACATCAAGGTTCTGACATACATGTAAAAGATCTTGTGTCTACATATGAAGTTAATCCATTTATAAATAACAAAGTTGTATAGCCAGTTACATCATGAAAAACGAGAAAATTTCATCAATTTCTTTTGTTGTTGAAATAATTATTGAAATATAAGGGATGATTGGTAAAATCTCTAATCAATTTAAGGGAGGGTTGAGGTGAGTGTCTTCAAAGTTTGAGAGCTGTTTGATGCAGGCTGGGGTGTCTTGTTACCCATTTTAAACTTGCATGATAATCTTTAATTATAGTTAGTAAAAATGGGTTACAGATAGGGTATAGATGGATACCGAAAATAAGCTATTTTTGCGAAAATAAGATCGAGGCTACGAAACTAATATTTCTTTTTGAAATAGTGCATTTATCTGTAAAAATTATTATGTAAGTTATATATTTATACATTTATCTGTTGAAATTATATATTTAATATGCATTCATTGAATGATTTAACAGCAAATTAAAATTTCAGAACCAAAAAAATATTTAAAAAAGTGAAGTTTGAGCCAAAAAATACTATCGTACGAAAATAGCTCAAATTGCCATGTAAAGCGAAAATAAGATCCGGTCTACGAAAATAAGATTTATTTTTGATATAATGTATTAAATAATTGATTTGTATGAACGAAATGATAAATTTCAGAACCAAAAAAAATTATTTAAAATAGTGAATTTTCGCATGCCTTCTTAAGTTCTTTCTATACTATTTGGGATATTTACCATATGTACCGAAGAAATATTTCATTACAAAACATTTCATTCTTTATTATTTCATTCATACAAATCATTTAATAACAACAAAAATATGTTTTCAATACAATTTATCAAAAAATAAATCTTATTTTCATAGATTCGATCTTATATTCGATTTACACGGCAATTTGAGCTATTTTCATATGATGTAGTACTTCACTTTTTAAATTTTTTTTAGGTTTTTTTATGTGCTGTAAAATCATTCAATGAATGTATTAAATATATAACTTACATAATTATTTTTACAGATAAACGCACTATTTCAAAAATAAATCTTATTTTCGTGGCATTAAAAAATAAATCTTATTTTCGTGGCCGCGATCTTATTTTCGCGAAAATAGCTTATTTTCGGTATCCATCTATTGACCTTTTCGAAAACCTAGCTAAACACCGTTTTCCGGTACGTTGCGGATTTAGCTCTGGGGAATTACACCAAATGAAGTACATAACACAGTTACATGATATTTCTATTTTTCTATCATTATTTTACCGATTAAGGTGAAAAAAATTGATGTTTTTGAAAGTTATCAATATTCCTTTAATATCTACTGCAAATTTTTGTAAAAAATAAATTGTTTTTAATGAAAATCAATAAAATTTAAACTGACGTAGTGGAATCTTCCATAATAAATAAGGTTATTTTCTGGTAAACTTGTGTATTTACTTTATTTTTTTGTATGGAATTATTCATAAATGATATTCAATTATTTTCTTAGAAAGGAATAACTGTTTTATTTCAATTTAATTTAAAAAAAGACCGAAAACATCGAGTTCAATATTACACTCTATTAGGTGAATTCCCCAGAGCTATGTACAGAAAGTACCGGAAAACGGCGTTTAGCTAGGTTTTCGAATTCGTGAATACCGGTTACACCACGGATTTAAATTACAATGTCAATTAAAGTCCATGGTTACACATAGATCTATATAGCACTAGCTCTAAAAGCTTTTTTTTCCAACTCAAAATACTATCCTATATATAATTATTATTAATTCTCAATAAATAAACAGATGAAACAGATGAAGAAAAAACACTTTAAAAAGTTCCGAAACGAAAAGTAGTCTCTAGCTGGAAATTCCTGAAATATTTTCTGAAAATTGAAAACATACACTTATGAACAGATGTGACCTGAAGTTTTTTGGGACGCGTGTATTTAATGCCCTGTCACTCTTGCGATATATAGAGAATAACATGCTACTGTCTTTTGATATCAATTTTATCAGGCGAGGCTGATATGGGCTAGAAAGGGCGAGGCTTGCCGAGCCCTTTCTGCCCATATCAGCCGAGCCTGATAAAATTGATATCAAAAGACAGTAGCATGTTTTTCTATTTATCATGTAACACATAATAACTGTGAAAATAACAAAATAATCTACTAGCAAATAGCGAATTTCGTAAAAAGGGGGATTTTGTTCAAAGAAATAATTCTTGAAAAACAAATTCTTCCGCCCCTGAAACTTAGAATTTGTTATGGCGGCCATTTTTTCTTTCGACTCGGATAAAAGATACAACAGAATGTAGGCCTAATACGATGAAATTCTTACCTTTAATTTAAACATTTAAACGTCGATCCAAAAATTCACTAAGAATCACATAAACTTATATTTACTGCAATTTTTGTCTTGAATTGTCAAATTCAAAAGTTCACGATAATTTCAATCAAAGAAAATTCAAATCGGCAATCAAACACAAGCTACTGTACACAATCATGCGTCTTATTTTTCAAACGAAACAATGTGTTCATTTATGAAATAATAATCCGGCGAAATAAAGTAAACATTTACAAGTTCTCAAAGAAAATCGTCTAGCCTGTTTGTTATGATTACATGCATAGTATGACGTGAACATCGATGATGTCATTTGCAATATAAATTATGACGTCACTTCATTTAGTTGGTGCTAAAACTATTCGCTATCTAATTTATTCGTAATTGAAATCGAAATAATAAATAAATAAATATCACATCTTGATTCAAGACTTGTAAGGGTATGAGATTACATTGAAGAACTCACATGCTGATGAAAATGAGAATATAAGCAATTGATAAAAAGTCCGTTAAAATGGGCGGGGCTTATTTTTGATATCAGGTTACTGACCTGATATCAAAAATAATTATCAGGCAAGTGTTATCGGGCAGTTACCATAGCAGTTGCATGATAAATTAAGATAATTTGCTATGGTGTTTTCAAGAAGCAACCAAAGAATTCTGAGAAAATGTTAAAGCGGAAGAAAAGTTTTCAAGGAAAATAAAGGGGATTTCCCAAGGAATTTTTTGATTTGGACAAAGTTTATTAAGCACTAAACACAGACGAATTACAAAATAAAACAATTCCAAAGCATATTAATATGATACAGTAAACTGTCATTAACCGTTATTCTACAAAATCTAAGGCAGATGAGCGGAAAACATTTAATGTTTTGGTGAAAATGTACAACCCTTACATTCCTCCACTTACAATAATAAAGAATTGACGTAAGTCAGTTTCCTTTAGACGGGTACTAATACTTATTAACGAAGCAACGCTAAGAAGCAATAATTACCACTAAGGAATATTTGTTCTGGTGAAGTTGAAATGAATTTAATTCAATGTATTCTTTACATTTTACATTTTGGTCTATTGCTTTATAACACGATGTAAGTACCACGTCAATCCGGCTCAAGATTATCCGATCCCAAGGTAATTCAGTCCAAAATAAAATAATTTGGTACAAGTCAAATTATTAAGAGATAACGACAGAATAGGACCGGCCCGTAAAATGGTTAATGGCCCCGAGGGTTACAGCTTTGTTATATCATGACCACATGCTTTATGAAGGTTGAGCTTATAGAGAAGGTTCTCAATCTCTTTTGTATCTACTTGAATAGTATTTGCATAGTTTTGATTTACTAACCATTTTGATTCAGGCTTCATTTTGCAGAGGTACAAAGCGGGAAAGGGGATTTTAGGCTAAATATTGGCTGAAGTTACCTGTACTTATTTAGAGAGGTAGCCTATGGAAGAAATGCATCATCATTTAATTTATTTTCATACTTAAACGCAGAGATACAAATATATCTTGTTTGGTATTTGAAGTAAGGAAGTACAGCTTTTTAGCATTAAATTTGTTACCGTTTTTTGCATCAGTGTTATTTCTATTGAGCTATATTATTGCTGACAAATAAATATATACATGTGTGACTTTCAACATAAACGCAAACAGTAAACTATTAAGGTAGTACATGTCACTTAAAGAACAAGTGAAGTGTGAAAGGATAAAAGTATCATGATATATCTATGGAAAAAAACACACCCTTTCAATGAGTGATAAACAAATAAGATATTTTAAAATTATAATGATATCTTAGAAAAGAATGGTTCATTTAATAATGATGATATTTATTTACTGTTTCAAATATGTCATAGTGGTAGGTTTTTTTTAAAGAAAAATAAAAACAACAATTAATAATATTTCTATGGGATGCAATAATTCAATCGAAAGGCATGGATATATTCTTATCCCTTACAACAACAACAATAGAAAGTCAGTGCTGGCGCGTTGTTCAGTTAACTTTGCTGCGGATAATGATTGGAAGATTTTGCAATTATAGTATTGCAAAATGCATATACAGGTTGTTCAAATATATATAATTGCAATATTGTGAGACATTAACGTAACGCCTTAAACACTGATATGATCTCATAAATACTATCATTATCTATCTTTGATTTTATTTTATTTTTCTTCGTTTGGAAATAATTCATCGTATTTATATAACAGTATGATAGGTATTGTAACATCGAATGTCGTCCTTTCTTAAACGCCATCAATTTACAGTTGGTTATATTCCTAGAGTACCATTTTTTTTAAAACATATGTTAAAGAAGCTTTAAATACACTAATAACTTAGTCATCATTTTGCTTTTTCGTTTCGAGTAAAATTTTGACAGAACTAACCGAAGAAATAGATCAATATACATGTATTCCCAAACTTAACTTTTGCAGATAAATTTAACTTTTGTATCCTGTACACTTTATAATTTGATAGTCAACTTCAAGTATTTGCAGAGTAATACAAATACGATGTGGTTTTCATATATAAAGAAGCCTGTTATATATATTTTATGTCATCCTATGAGAAAAATGTAGATATCGGTATATCTCCATATATTTATTCCAACTGAAAGGATTGTGTAACAAATGATATTTGCTTTAATATTATGTTTTGTAATTTATTGTGCATAATATGCCATGATCTTTTATTGTTCGGTTTTGTAAATATGTCTTGCTCTTCAATACATGTATTAGAGGAATAAAAAGTATTTATCTATCTACCTTCATTTATGTGAAACACTAAACCAAAAATGGGCGGTGAAGCGTCTCAATCAGCAATCGCAACCGTTCGACCCTTTCCGTCACTCTATGGATGAGGACTGTTATAGATAATAGCCGATTGCTCAATCAGATTTCATTAAAAGTGGGGTGAAGTGTCTCCAAAAAATGGCCTGGTGTAAAGTGTCTGTAAATCCTGTTTTTTCTTGTTCGCAGCAACATATATTCACTGTTTTCTAGGAAAAGGTGAAATATGACCACAAATAAAGTAAAAAGCATGAGATCTTACCAACAAAAAATATTATTCAACTGATTTATAGAAAATAAAATGTCTTGTCAGTAAATTGGTGTTAACTTATTTTTTTTCGTGTCGGTTCCCATACATTTAATTTTCTTTGTAGAAAAAGAAAAAAGATTCAAATATAATAAATATGATAGATAGATATGACCTTAATGCATTATGTGTAATTCTTCCTTCTCATGTGAAGGCAGAACTATATAAGATTAAACTCACATGACGATATTAAACTTCACCAAGAAATCCAAAGCATTCAGAATGTATATGGAGCGCGCCATTTTGTTCTATGGACAGCGCCATTTTGATATCAGGAAGTTTTACTTATAGTTTAGCGTAAACATAATAATTAGTAGCAGGAATACGACAGAAATTGTGATCATTGAACAAAAGAAGCCAAGTTTAGAAAAAAAGGCAAACTATATGTTTTTCTCATCACACATTGGATCTGAACTATAATATAAATGCCATATTATGCGTGTTTTAATTATTTCTTCGTTTTCAGTAAATACATAGTGCTCCACCTAAAATCGGACGTATCCATTTGTTTATGGCTTCAGAAAAAGCATCGTATGGTCTATTTTAAGGTTTTCTTGCCCGGTCAGTTATAGCCCGTTTCAAGTAAAAGGAAACTACATCTGCTTTATGCTGCTTAACAATCATTTTCGATTATGAAGGGACTGTTGATTAAGTAATAGAATGAAGAAAGCGACCATTAGTTCTTCATTGTTGCACATTTTACACAATTAATTTATCGGTCACGCCAATCAATCTCTCACAGGTCGGTATCGTGTATGTACATGTCTTACAATTTATCATCAGCAGCATTGTTTCACACGTTTTTGTTTCTAAGAACTCTTAGTATACTAAGCTGTTATAAATAAATATACATCTTTAAAGATGCACTTGAATCTTTTCCACAGCTTCTATACAAGGAGTCCTGTTTATAATCATTTTTATAAATTTAGTTTTGCTCTAGAAGAATTTTTGGTAAGCTTAACACATTTAGATTTGAAGACTTTTCCAGATTTATTCAATACTGTCATGGTTCATATAAGAACATGTGACATAAAATACAAAATTGTGAACAACCGGAAAGAAAAATATACGTAAAAAAATTAAAAAATCAGGAGAATGAATGACAATTATATTTTACCCGTAAAGTAAAAATAAATATATGACTAGATTCTTACTCTTCTTTGCTCACGCTGTCGGTCGCCATAGTCGCCATTTGCGATTATTTTATAAGATTGGCGATTATTTTTGCATTTTGGCTACAAAATCTGGCGGTTATTTTTTACTTCCAACAGTGTTTATATAAGGTGTAAAAATCGATAATGAATGCAGTAGACCCAATTAACACCAGCGGGGTGCATTTAATTGAGAGTCAACTTTTTACCGGCCACGTGCTGCTAACTATATTGCCCGAGGTGATAAAATACATGCGAGATGTATAATTGTATAAGTACTTTAAAGATATTGTCCAGCATTTATAATAGCCATCAAATATCCGTCAATTAGCCACAAAAATCGTTTAAAAATTGATAAACTGGATATTGACATACCCAAAATTTACCGTGAATTGCAGAAATTTTGATTTTTATTGTTTTAAGCTACTTGACTAAATCGCCAGTGGAAAACAATGGTTAAATATTTAAAAAGTATTAACTTCCAAACAACTATTTGCACAACAACCAAAATTGTGAATATTTCTTCAGAAAACAGGAAAAATCTGATTGTCACATATTTTCGCGACACCGATAATTTTGATATTTATTCAAAAGTGAAATAAGCTATGTTCTGTTTAAAAATCTTTACTACTATGGCAGAAAATTTGTATTACATTGGTGATGATGATATTTTTCAGTAAATTATTCAGAAAAAAGGCTGCATTCTGTGAATGAGTTTGCAAACTTGTGTTATTTCTATAGGCTAATATGACCTAGATCTACTCCAGTTCTGTGTGAAATGTGGAAATTGACAGTGGTTATAGCTGACCAAATTTGATTAGAACAAACAAAAAAGTTGTCTGATAACAGCATTATGTAAAGTTATAATGAATCTTTAATATTATTGTTATACAGTAATTATACTAATTATAACGTTTTTATTCTGTTCTATAATAACAATTAAAGTTGTGGTTCTATTTAAAAAAAGGTAGTTATCAATATACACAAATGTATCAGTTTATTTGAGAATCCTTATAAAACTGAAAGATATAAATGTAATGTTTATTTAATCAACTGCTTATGTTGTAAATCGCTAATTCGTGAATAGTCCGCTGAACTTTTGGCTATTATTTTTTTAAGTTGAAATTATTGGCTATTATTTTAATTGAGCCAGTGTGAGCCCTAATAATAACAGAAATCTTTCATTAACAAAATTTCTAGGAGACTAATGACACAATATTATACTTAATATTTGCATTGTTGTATTAATATAAAACATTTCTTTACAAAATAAAGCCAGGTATTTTAAATGTGAATTTTTTTGTAACTAATCATAAGGTCTTTAAACTTTAATGAATTAGGATACCTATAATAATACTGTTTAATAAATTTACTTATCATCACCCGTGCCGATTTTGCGACTCCGTAAATATGGTATTGCATGGCCGTGCATATATTTTGATGTGACGTCATTAGCGTTATACAAACATAGTGTAAAGACGCGCTAAATGTTAGCGTTATACTATAGGCGCGTCAATGAAAAATGACCAAATGTGATAAATAGAATAGACCTATTAAATTCGTGTAAGTGCAGAGGCTCGCATAATATATTTTTTTCAACTCATGCAATAAATTCAGTATCGAACTTCTTATATATGACTTGAGTGATTAACCTGCCCATGCTTTGCCCTGCCCTGTTTTTGTTTTGTGTCCTCCTGGGCTCC